AACAATAAATTAATAGATTGCTAAGTCTCGCTATCGTAATTAGGCCGCCTCGATAGGCTATCGGTAGGGTTACTTACGCCTAGCCGATATAATATATTAAAATTAAACCTAGCGAGGTAGACGGCCTATCTAGCCTATCGACCTATAACCCTAGTAACCTTTGTAATTCTACGGAGGTTGTTATAGTCTATATAGACCTATATTGTATATTAAGCCCTATCGAGGTAGTGCCTCTAGTGCTTAAAGGCCTCGACAATAGCTAGGAGCTCTTACTCGTAGGTCTCGTAGCGACGCTTAGCGTTAATTATCTTTCTCGAGAAGAAGGTAATCGGGTACTAGTAGGTGTTATTAGCCTACTGTAACATAATAGCTAATATAGCGAACTATAAAGCGTTAGTCTCAATTCGGATCTATTTACTTAGTACGAAATAGTATAATAAGGGGACTTTAGTAAATCGTTTCTTTAGACCGTTAAAAGCGGCTTGTGTTTTATTAGTCTACCTAAACTCTCTAGAAGGGTTTGCCTTAGTCTTAGTAAGCTTAGTTAATAGCATTATATGCCTCGAATAGCCCTTAATAAAACGGCGGTAGAAATTTGCGAAGCCGAGGAACGATTGAAGCTCCTTAATAGACGTAGGAATAGGCTATTTAGTAATAGTTTTAATCCGATTAGGATTAGCCTTAATACTATTAGTTGATACGATAAAACTAAGGAAGGCTACCTCCTTAGTAGCAAAGGTGCATTTAGAAGGCTTATAATATAGTCTATAGGCTCGTAAGCGATCGAGTACCTTGCGGACTATAGCCTAGTACTCCGCGATATTAGGGGAGTGTATATAAACTAGGATGTTATCTAGGTAAACTATATAAAGGTAGTCTAGTAGGCCCGAAAGGGCCCGATTAATATAGGACTAGAACGTTATAGGGGCATTAGCTAAGCCGAATAGTATAACTAAGTACTCGAAATGCCTATAACGAGTATAAAAGGCTGTCTTCTATTTATCGCCCTTACGAATACAGATACGGTAATAGGCGTCCTTAATGTCTAATATAGTATAGTAATAGGCACTAGAAAGGCAGTCGAGGGTCTTATTAATAAGCGGGAGTAGATAGCGGTCTTTAATAGTAACAGAGTTAAGCCTACGATAGTCGATATATAGGCGTAGGCTACTATCCTTCTTTAGTACGAATAGGATAGGGGCGCTAGCAGGGCTGTTACTATACCGTATCCGGCTATTAGCTAGGTTCTCCTCTAGATACTTACGCAATACAGCAAGCTCTCGTTTACTAAGGTTGTAGAGGGGACTAAAGGGAACCTCCTTACCCTCTATAATATTAATCTTATAATCCGTCTCTTTAAACATAGGCAATGTCGATACTAAGTGGTATTTAAATACATTAATATAGGTCTCTCGAATAGGCTCTAGTATGCGAGCAAGCTAATTAGGGTCTATGCTATTAGGGGGCACAGGTTTATCGTTATCTCTACCGAGAAGATTAGCTATCGGATTAGCTAAGGCAGGTATTAGGTTGCTAATAAACAGGACCCTAATATTATTAGGACACTCGCTAATATCGATGTATTTAATATCCTCTCTCCTAGCGATTCTAAATCGCTATTGTTAACTGCCTAAGTCTATAACTATAGTATAGTACTTAAGAATAGGGTTGCTAATAACAATAGTAGCTCCCCTATATAGGTAGTCTATATCTACTACGTAGGCAGTAAAGTCTAGTAGGCGTTTATTTCCGAGGTCGTCCTTTAGAGCTATAGGAATATAGTAGGCCCTATAGGTTAAGTGCCGAGCGTTATTAAACTAAGCAAGAGTTAGTAGGTTAGTCCTCGGCAATTGTCGAAGGTCTAATTGCTTAGCTAGGCGATAGCTAATAAGGGCACTAACTGAATTTCCTAGATCTAGCATAACCTTAGTTTAATAGCTAGTGCCCTTCGTATCCTATATAAGGTAGGAGCGTGTTACAGCTAGTATAATGTCGATAGTCTTACGCCGTACGAGGCTAACAGTTAGTGCAGCGCTTACTCTTTTTTCGACTAATTAGAAGGTTAGCCTATAGGGGTAGCGTTAGCTGCTAAGAGATGCTTTCGGTACTTAGCGGTAGTACGGTCGACTTAGGCCTAATCCCTAGGTTTGTCGCATTAGCCTAGCAGATAGCTAGTACTATCGCAATTAAAGCACTTCAATCTAGTTAGGAGGTTGCTATAGCTACTATTAGTCGAGCGGTTAGCGTTATAAGGATACGAGCCCCTTCTACGGCCCGTATTACGGCCTCCTCTATATAGCCGTCGGCTACGACCTCTTCCGCGGTCGTTACTATTCCTATTGTTAGCATTGTTGTCTTAGTAGGAACCTTAGTTTCCTCCGCGGCTACGGTTACTATAGTTGCTAGCAGGTCGGATCCTTAATTCTAGTCGTTGCTAGAGCTAGATAGCTCGTTTAGCAGTTTCGACTTTAACTGTAAATTAAATGCGTATAAGATTAGTCTGTTTAAACACACGGCGGCGGTCTAATTTAAGGACTAATTCCTATCTCAATTTAGGGCGTATTTCGGAGATCTAGATAGAATTAGTTTTAGTTAGGAGGTCGTCTTTAAGGGTCTTTAAATAGGCCTTAAATAAGCGAGCCGATTGATTAGTCTTTTGTTTAGCTCGAAGGTACTAGTCCTAAGCGTATTGTTACCTTAGTATAGGGTTTCTAAGAGTGTCTAGCATAATAGTTTTGTAGGTCTGCTACTAAACAGTAGTCTAGTTATTAAGGGAGTCAAAATAGTTATCCTAGGTGCGTTTCGGGTCGCCGTTAATGTACTATATAGTATAGACGACTAGTAAATAGTTATTTAGTAGAGCCCTTAGTACGTTTCGTTAGTTAAGCTTATAGTTACGAATGTAGTCGTTGTATTGCTTTCGACTAGAGCTATTAAACACGGTATAGTCCTTAAGTTTAGCATCCTTCTTCTAGACTAGGACTAGTAGTAAGGAAGGCCCTACTATCGGCTTAGTATTAGTTGTTAGGGCCTCCTAAAGGCGGCGAATTTCGAGGAGGTTATCCTTTAGCTATTGTTCTTAATATAGGGCAGTAAGCCTGTTTTAGGTAGCTTCTTAGAGTCTCCCTACTAGTTAGGGGCTAAAGGCTAGCTAGCTATATCGTCGATTAACAATGTTGTTAAGAATATCGTTAATAGGCAATTCTAGATTATTACCTAGAATTACAGGTTCTTCTTTAATAGGCTCTCTAGTAGGCTCTTTAGTAGGAGGCACTTTAGTAGGCACTTTAGCGGGAACTGTACTACTAGCGTTGTTATTGCTAGCGCTGCTAGCGGTAGCACGGTTGTTGTTTCGTAATAAACCGGCTATTATAAGGGGCGATACTAATAATGTATTATTAGCCCCTAAGATGCGGATATAGCGGAATTAGTAGATATCGGCTTAGTATGCTTAACTTAGTATAATAGGCTGTATAGAAGGCCTTGCTTAATAATTGGTACGGTTGTTTCGATAGAGTAGTACGTATAGGTCCCGTTCTTCGGGTGTAATATAGTTAGATTAGTCTTATTCGTAGCTATACCGCTAAAAGCTTAAAATAAGGACTATCTAGCTGCTGCCCTTAAAAGGTAGATCGAATACTGTATAAGAAGGGTATATAAGTAGGTAGATAGGGTAGTAGTAGGTACGAGTAGTATTCGATAAGGAGCTAGGAGGAGAGGGAGGAAGGCAGGCAAGTTAGCCTATTACTAAGCGCTAAGCCCTACCTAAGGCATTAAGACCCTAGCTTTACTCGAGCCCGGTTACATACTAATTACGTATAACCTCTTTAGTCCTAACAAAGAGCACCCTATTCTACTACTAATCGCGCTTATAACAGTAATACTAGTACGACCGCTGCTCTAAGCTATCCTTCGTTCTCGGCGACTAAGACTCCTTATATACGTTACTAATATAAGCTTTAAGCACCTCGAAGCGCTTAGGCTCGTACGTTAACCCCTATAGTACGTTAAATAGCTACTCTCGGATATCGATTATATTGTATAGTATACGATTAGGCCTAAACGGCGATACTAGTTTAGACAAAATAGGCGGCATAGTAACGACAATAATAATAGCAATAATAATAGATATACTCTTTAAGCTATTATAGAAAGAGCGAGATCTATATATAAGAAAGAGCTATAAGGGTAAGGTTAGAACTAGAAGTATAACCGATAAGGTTACTACGGTACTAGAATAGGAAAAGCACCGTCGATTACTAGGCAAACTATACTAACTTAGTAGATAACGCCCTCCGGAAGTAAACTACTATTACAAATAGTAGTACGCTAAATTTCCTAATATATAAGAATACCTTCTAGTTTCGGCTAAGCACTATTTCCGTTATCTCCGCCGCAAGTTAATCCTATAGAGCAGATTATTACTATTAAGTCTAATACGGAGTACTAACATTAGAGATCCTATCCCCTTAACCGCGTCCGTGGTTAAGTCCGAAGAACTGCTGTATGTATAAGATCTGAGCGGTCTGGTTGGTCAGATCCGCTTTGTATAAGTACGCACCGACAGAATTTGTATAAGGAGTGGACCAGAATCCTAGTTTTTGCCGGTGAACCCCGACAACCAACGAGTTAATCAGGGGGATATATATACATGGTTTCAACCAAAAAGCAAATCTTCCCATTGGTAGTGTATCACACAGACAGCGAGTCGCGCATTTGGGACCTGCGTCGTCAGCATGTTCAACGTTACCCATGCTTCCACCCGCCATGAGACTGGCGCTGGGACCGGGCTTCAAAGGCCCCTACCCTTGCAACACACAGACTTGTCATCGTCATTGGTTTCATCAGATTTCCAAAAGATGCACCGATGTTCTTTCGTTCGACGGTGTCATGAACGAACACCAGGAAAAATCGTCGGAGTTCGTGTGAACTGGCGCAAGGATGACGCGCAATTATACAGTATACCGTCAAACCTCGAATGCCGTGGGAAATCGTAATTTATACCAGATCGCGTTGGTATAGCGCTAGTCAATTTCGCTTAAACCGACTGTATCACTACGCTGTTACAGCTACCTCTCTGAGGTTACGCAGTTGGCCAAAGTTGTGGCGGATTTCGATGTAGTTGGAGTAGTGCGGCTGTGGTTAACAGCTCTATCCCTCTTTCCATGTGCTCCAAGACCTTCTCATGAATAGTACAGTGAATGAAGGAAGCAGCTCAAAGTCATATCCCTTGCAGCAATAACGCCATGCCTGATCGCGATCCTCGCTGATCGCAACTCCCAACTGATGCCTTTGGACGCCCAAATAGTAGTCAAAACGCTGAAGCCAAATAGTGCAGTGCAGTAGTGCTACGACAGAAGTCCACCTCTACTGCCGAAGAATCTGCGGATGGTCATGCTGGCACTGAAGACGATCGCTGCCAATGAGCCACCAACAACCGTGGCTCGGAAGAGGACGTTCATCATTTGCATGCGATTCCTCTTTCGGCAGCGATCCACGAAGCCGTCGGTGTCGTTGGTCCGTGGGAACTTCTTGCCCTCTGGCACAGGAACCTCGAGAAAATCCGCGAGTGGCTTCCAGCCCTCGCCCATCTTGTATTCCAGGAGATTCTCCTTGGGCACAAGAGATCGAACCTCGTCGTAGTACTCGTTGAATCTTCGCTTGCCGTTCTTCTCGAAGTCGCCTTCCCAGAACTCCGTCCAAAATTCTGTCAATGTATTTAGTGCCATGTCGATGTTCAATGTGGAGTGCGGAGCTCACTGGAAAGCATTGGCTGGTAGAGACCTGCTCCCCAATCAAATTTGGATACAAACTTGAGCTCTGGCTCAGTTGCGCGCCAGTGGACAGTCTTCATTGTGGATGCGTGCCAGCTGTCGACGTCGCGAGTGGTAAGGATGACTTTGGCGTCTGGGTAGGCCTGGATGAGCTCCTTCGCAAAGGCAACTGCGGGCCAGTCGCAGACAGCTTGGCAGTGGCCGAGCAATTGGTCCCATTGCTCGCGACCGAAGGTTCCCTTGCCGTCGTACTTCGCTGCCAGTGCATCGGACCACATCAGACAGTCTGGTGGGTTCTCCACAGATGCAGACATCATGTGGTAGCAGTCATCAAAGCCCAATTGCTTCAGAGCTGTGCGAAGGGAGGCAGTTCCAGTGCGTCCGAGGCCGAGGGCAAGCACCCGCATGGGCACTACACGGCGACATTCTCGTCTGTTAATGTCGGTGTCGTGTGTAAAGATGTCGGTAATGGGCTTTGGAGTGTATGGTTGGAAGGCCATGGCGGTGGTGCTGGGTGTGATTGACTGATTACTGGTGGTGTTCGTGGATCGGCGACTTGGTAGTTTCAATGAGTGGCTGGCGACAAGAAGCAGTCGCGAGTGAGATGCGGGAGGGACGGGCTGAGAGGCGGAAAGCGAGAGTTGCGCAGAATCAGCGGTTCAGTTGAGAGACAGCAGAGGTGGTGCAGAGCAGAACAAGTTGGAATAGCGTGAAGGCTGAAGTGCTGCCGATCTCTACCCCTTGATAGCGCCAGGAGCCAGGGCCCGGCATGGAGGGCCTTGGCATGCATGTACAACGCGTGGACGTCTGGGAAGTGCATCGTCATCACTCACGCCGCCGCTTGATCATTATTGTCCTCCTCCATACAGTTCCCGTCACTCGTCGTGTCTCTCATGACGCAACATCCGCGCGCGGTTGGATGTGCTCAACAACAAACGCACATGCCTTTGCCTTTGCCTCTGCGTATACTGCACCTACATGTATGTTGTATGCGAATTTCGTCCATGTCCCAGAAGTGCCGAATCGATTGAGGGGGAACTTTGTCGGGGCCAGCCCCAGCGAATCAGGCTTACTGTATTCTTGTTGGGATCAAAGGGACAAGTTGCGACTCGCGAGACAGAAAAGGCAAACAAAGCGGCACGCAGCACTTTTGCCCATGATTTGATAAGAAGTGCGTTAAAATGCTGCACGCCGACACGTGACACTGTAGTACAGTGGATGATACTCTGGCCAATGCGCTTCCTTCTACGCGGCGTGGCCTGACATTGGGCTTGGCGCCAAGCTCACCCATATCTATCTGGCTATCATCATTATCATGGAATGTTCCGTCAGAGTAGCTCAGGCTCAACAATTCCCGTCTGCACTGTAATCACGCCGTACGCTTCAACTCGACGATGCCGTGCATAATCGAACGTCCGCTCCTTGCCTTTCCTGCATTCCGCCACATCAATCTCCGCAACAATCAATTCATCCTCCTTAGTCTTGGCCTCAGCAATCACATGGCCTTCAGGACTAACGATGGAGCTGCCGCCGATCAAATCGTACTTGCCATCATCCACGCCGCATCGCGCTGAAGAGATCGAAAAGCACGCGTGCATGTAGCTATTCGCCTGCTGCACGAGCCTGGAATGGAAGAGGGCCTCCTGCTCCTGCTCCTCGGGCGACATGCTTGTGCCTCCCCAAAGATGCGACATATGGGAACCAGTGTTGTATCCGAACATCAGGATCTCAGCACCTTGAAGCGTGTACACTCTCCATGCTTCAGGCCATCTCCTGTCGTTACATATCTGCATACGGTCAGCGACAACTCGACCACAATCGACGCCGATTACTTACGAGCATGCCCATGATCGGGTCTCCTTTACCATCCGTCTTCTCGCCCTCCTTGGCTTGGCCCTTTTTCAACGCATCCGGGACCAGACCAGGCGCTCGAAAAGCCTTGAATCCAAGATCTCCAGGTTTGAAGTACCGCTTCTCCAACTGATTCGTAGCATTGGGGTCCTCGAATGGTTCTACGCGACCAGGCAAGTGTACCTTTCGATATTTACTGATCACTTTGCCTGCAGATGCCGAGTAATAGACAGAAGTGTTATATCCACTTCCGTCTGGTGTCCGCTCCGCATATCCGATACAGATATCGATTCCTTGAGCTTTCGCTTCGTCAAACAAAGGCTTGACGTCCGGAGACTGAGTAATGTCTGCGCCGTGTTCGAAATAGGTATCTAGCTCTTCACGAGATTCGATGAAGTGCCGTGGGAAGAATGTTGTAAGTGTACACTCAGGATAGACGACCAATTGCACCTTCTTTTCTGCTGCTTCGTGTAGTAGCTTGATCAGTCTCTGGACCGTCTCTGGCTTCGATGCATCTTTGTGAACTGCGCCCACTTGAGCAGCTGCGACCGTGATTTTTCGGGACATGATGAGGAATCATGCAAGCAGAAAGGCAATCAATCAATGTGATGAGGGATAACCTTCGAGGCCCGTGAACACATATACCACTAATACATGTACCAAATAGGCAGTCGGACGGCCAGGAAGTCGCCGTATAGATCTTGCAGTCGTGCAGTACTCTACACACAAGATCTCATCATTCGCCGTATGGCCCGCCTATCTTGCCCGAATGGCCTTACTTATCGGCTCGGCCAGTCTCGGCGGCGTGGGCGACAGGAAGCTAACTCAGCTCGTGCGAGATCAACGGTCAATGGAATTGCGAATGTCCAGATGCGACACAAACATACCATAAGTCAGAGAATAGAAAGGACTTATAGGAAGCAAGAAGTCGAGCATTCACTTGAGGTGAGAGCGATCCTTGCAATCTGCACATTGGTGGCGTCAGAGCTCTAACTTAAATAAAAGTGGGGCAAGCATTGAGATCAGAGCAATATGGACTTCGATCTGATTGTTAAGAATGGCACAATCGTGCGTCTGAACTCCACTCGATCAAAAGAAGGATGCATACATCTAACACATCCGCCAGGTCACAGCCTCAGAAGTTCTCCCACCCAACCTCGAAATCGGAATCAAAGCCGGCAAAATCTCATGCATAGGCACAGCCCTCCCAGCATCATCCCAGACCAAGATCATCGACGCAGAAGGAGCCTACATAACCCCCGGAGGCGTCGACTCACACGTTCACCTCGCACAAAAGAATTCCCCAACAGGAGACACATGGGAAACGGGATCCCGCTCCGCAATCGCAGGAGGAACAACGACCATCCTCGCCTTCGCCTCCCAACCCCGATCCGAAACCTCCTTACTCCCAACCCTCGAAGACTACCACAAGAAATCCTTGAACCAAAGTTACTGCGACTACGGCTTCCACTTCATCCTCACGAACCCGACTCCAGAAATCCTCGAGAAAGAATTACCCCTGCTGGCCGCGCGCGAAGGCATCACGTCTGTGAAGTTGTACATGACCTACGAAGCCATGAAACTCGACGACGGCGAGATTTTACGGATACTATTCGCGTGCAAAGAGTTAGGCATGACGACTATGATCCACGCCGAATCCCACGATATGATTTCGCTCATAATCCAAGGTTTGGAGAAGAAGCGGAATACCGCGCCTTTCTTCCACAGTCTAGCACGGCCCCGGATCGCGGAAGACGAGGCTTCGTATCGCGCCATTTCTTTGGCCGAGTTGGCGGATGCTCCCATGTTGATTGTACATATGAGTTCTGAGGTGGCGATTCGTCATGTTCGGGATGCTCAGACGAGGTTATTACCCATACACGCCGAGACGTGTCCGCATTATTTATTCTTACTTTCGGAGAAGATCAAAGGAGAGGCTCACGATCATTTTTCGGGAGCGAAGCATGTCTGTTCGCCGCCTTTGAGGCACGAAGTCAAAGATTTGGATGCTTTGTGGCAGAGTATTGCGAATGGGACGTTTACGACGTTTTCTTCCGACCATGCGCCGGCGAAATATGATCATCCTGGTGGAAAGTTATTGGGGTTGATCGATGGGATTCCGAAGTTTTCGAAGATTCCGAATGGTTTGCCTGGGGTTGAGACGAGGGTGGCGTTGTTGTTTGGGCAGACGGAAGCGTGTAAGGAGCCTGAGGAGGCGAGGTTGAGTTTGCCGAGGTTTGTGCAATTGACTGCGACGAATGCTGCCAAGTTGTACGGGCTGGATGGAAAGAAGGGCAGTATCGCGCCTGGGTATGATGCGGATCTGGTCATTTGGCATCCTGGCAAGACTGGCGCTTGCACAATCACGCAACCGATGCTTCATCATGATATTGATTACACGCCTTTTGAAGGTGTCGATGTCGGCAATTGGCCCAGATACACTATCTTGCGAGGTGAGGTGATCTACGACAAAGCGGAAGGTATCGTTGGTAAGATCGATTATGGCCAGTATTTGAAGCGTGGAAAGGGCCAGGTATTGGTTGGGAAGACTGGCAATATTCCTCGAGGTATGACTGAGGATGAGCGGAAATACTGGCGATGAAATTTTTCTCTCCGGTCCACGCTGGCGAAGACTGTATGGCGCTGTCTCGTCCGTAGCGATGAACTTTAGCCGCTCAGGTGACATGGCGAGCATCAGAAATGATGCCCCATATGCCGAGCGGGTCGTTCTTGCCTGTATTTCTACTTCGTTCCATTTCTTGTAGTCGCCTCACACGCTTGACCATCAAGCCAACCACGATGGGGCCAAGGAGTGTGCATAACAGGATTGCCCATGTTACGATCAGAAAGAGCTCAGATCCATTTTCCTCGTTTGAACCAAAAACACCACCGCTCTCTGCAACGCTCGAGATCAAGAAGCCTATCTCACCTCTTGCAACCATTGCGCTACCAAGCAAGGCGGCCGGGTAAAGTGACACAGGCTTCGGGACCCGTGATTGTTTGCCAGACGACGTCTCCCGACTCTCTGGAGATGTGGGTTGAGCAGGTGTGGACTGAGCAGTCTGCATTGTTGCATCTGATGTCGCAGCGGCCTTGCCGTTTCTGACAGGCCATGGCCAGCACTTCGACATGCTGTTTCTGAATCGCCTCGAGAGTGCTTGCAAGGGCACAACTGGTGTAGCGAAGCTGATCAAGAAAAGCCCGCAGATCAACTTGGCCAGCACCATCAACATGGTATAGACCAAACCTCGCCAAATGACTGAACCAGTGAACATTTGTGTGATTGGAATTGCGAAGCCAATCGACGCGAAGAAGAAAGGCTTGAGAATGGTTTGAAGCGCGGGGCTATAGTATTTCTCGAACACAGCTATTCCTGTGAGATCCTCGTACGGGTCTGGGCGTGACCGGGAACACGTTTCGGTAGGTCGTACACTAGGTTCTGCGGGCGAAATGCCCTCTTTGATTGCTTGATCTAAGCTTCCATCGTCTTGTGATGTCACAGAAATGTTGGGGTTCGACCTTACATGTAGTTGGGGACTATCCTCCGTCGCTTGTGTGCACGACTGTTGTCCAGTAGCAGGAGGCTCCATTTCTTCGTTGGGGTTTGACATACGAAGTTCTTTGCAAAGGCCGTCCCACCATGATATGGTCGCACCAGCAATATATGCAGCAAAGAGATTGGATGTTCCAGCGTAGCTCGCTGCAGCTACGAGTCCGGCCAACACCATGGCGTGAAGTACCAGAGCTACATTTTCTGTAGCAATCCACTTGTGCCTTCGCTCCGAGTTCTGGCTTCTGATCGCATTGTACAACTCTCTGGTAAGCGGTTTCAGTACCCACGCACAAACGAGAGGCACAACTACCGCGAATGCGATCGAAACGAAGACTGGACGGATGACAGTGACAGCATTGAAGTCTGAGGATGTGCCGAGGCTTGAGACGATGCCGCTCATGACGAGGCCCACGATATCATCCATCATCGCGGCGCTCGACAATACCACGCCGAGGCGACTTGCAGCCAGACCGCTCGTGGACAGAATAGTGAAGGTAGTGCCCAAAGAAGTCGAACACAGCGCAGCGCCCGCAGCGAATGCCTGCACCGGCGCAACACCATTCACAAAACTGGGCAGGAGGAATGAGAGGCCGATAGGAGCTGATATTCCAGTAAGAGCCACCAAAGAGGACAAGAAGAGATTGGACTTGAGTGTCTTGAGATCTGTAGATAGTCCGCCTATAAATAAATCGTTCAGCATAGATTGATGTCCATCACTGCATTTTCTGCCAACCTTCAAAGACAAGCAGAATCAGGCCAAGATAACCTATCTGCACAATGACATTCTGCGCAGCGACAGACAGCCAGTTTGCGCCTGGTTTGCCCCATGCTACTCCAATGGCAATCTGCCCGATCAGTCCGCAGAAGAAGAGTCGATCGAAAGCCCAATTCACTGCATTCTGTAGGAGTAAGAAGGAAGTCAGGATCAGAATTGTAACAATATCTGGCTCATGATAGGAGAGTGCGGCGATGGTGGACGACATGGTCCATGGCGGAAAAAGAAGGAGAGAGAGAGAGAGAGAGAGAGAGAGAGAGAGAGCAAAGCCAGGAAAGGAATTGCATTTGACTCAGTGCCATTTCAGGCCACCGTCAAACTTCTGCCCATCCAAGGACCAGCACGACTTCGACTCGTGGAAAATATCCATCATGCACAAATCCTAACATGAGGCATCTGCCTCTTCTCCGACGAATCAACACGCCATTCCACCTCACCCTGCGACCCTCCCCCTCAAAATTCCACACAACCCAAATCCAAACAATCAAACGCCTCCCCTTCAACATGACTAGTCCGACCGACTACACATCCTGGACGAACGCCGACCTCATCGCACGCGTAACGCACCTCGAAAACCAACTCCGCACCCAGACCCTCTCCCATCATCACACCCCACCCCAAAAGAAGAAAAACCCCCCCAAAAAACCCTCCAAACCCTTCGACCCCTCACGTTACAACACCCGTCTCATCGCTTTGAAATTCGCATACCTGGGAGGCAACTACAATGGGTTCGAACATCACAATAACAACACGACGCCTTTGCCGACGATTGAAGAGGAATTGTGGAAAGCTTTGAATAAGACCAAGTTGATATTTCCGGAATACAAGGTTGGGGAAAGCGGAGGGGGAGATGTTTCTTGGGAGGGAGTGGAGTATAGTAAGTGCGGGAGGACGGATCGGGGAGTGAGTGCTTTTGGACAGGTTATTGGGTTGAGGGTTAGGAGTTCGAGACCGAAAGAGAAGGAGAAAGTGGAAGTGAACGTGGTGGTGGAGGAGGAGGAGAGTGTTGGGTCAGATGCTGAAGTGGAAGTGGAAGAGAAAGAGAAAGAGTGGGATCACATTCGAGATGAATTGCCATATATCCAACTCCTAAACCGAGTTCTGCCTCCTGATATCCGAGTGCTGGCTTGGTGTGCTGATCCTCCCGAAGATTTTTCTGCGAGGTTTAATTGCAAAGAGAGAAGGTACAGGTACTTCTTCACAAACCCTGCATTCGTCCCTTTACCTGGATGCAAACACAAGTCTGAAAATGAACGGCCGGGAGAAGGCTGGCTAGACATCGAGGCCATGGACCAGGCGGCGAAGAAGTATGAAGGTCTGCATGATTTTCGGAATTTGTGCAAAGTGGATCCTAGCAAGCAGATTGCGGATTTCTCCAGAAGGATCTTCCATGCTGGCATTCATGAGGTGCAATCGCAGGGAGGAAGCGTCGTCGACCCATCATCGCCCAAGCTCTTCTACTTTGAAGTGAGAGGGAGTGCTTTCCTCTGGCATCAGGTCCGACATCTGGTTGCAGTGCTTTTCCTTGTCGGGCAAGGATACGAGAGTCCGAGTATTGTCGATGAGCTCCTGGATATTGGAAAGACACCTGCGAAGCCTCATTATGAGATGGCTAGCGATATTCCACTCGTGCTCTGGGATTGCATATTTCCAAGCGCGGAAGAGGTCGCTAGGGCAGATCATGCTGACGGTGAAGCTGATCAGCCAAGCTATACTGATGCCCTGGACTGGATCTATGTTGGTGACGACATTGGTGGTCGAGACCCAGCTAAGCGCTCGACAACCGGTGTTGAAGATGGCAAGTACGGTCGCAATGGCATTATGGATGAGCTCTGGGCGCTATGGCGACAGCGCAAGATGGACGAAGTGCTTGCCCGCAGTTTAATGGACGTTGTTGCATCGTCGGGCCACCAGCCGGATGCAGCAAAGCTGTCGTCTGCAGTTCTCGCAGAGAAGAGTGCCCGCCTCTATGATGGAGGACCAGTGCCTCGAACGGTGGGTCCGTACACGCCTTTGATGCAGCGTGAGCGCATGGAGACTCCCGAAGTCGTGAATGCCAGATACGCAGCTCGTAAAGGCCTGGATAGAAACTCCCAGCCCACGCCGACATCAATGAATAGGTAGGTAGGCAGCCATCAACCACCCGTAAGTCCCTCACGCCTTCGGCTCGTACAAACAAGCCCTCGCTCCCCTCCATACTTGTTCCAAAACCTCCCTTCGTGGCAGAATAGTCTATAGTTTAAAAAAATCAGCAATCAAGATCCGATCCCAAGAAAGCTACTTCATCCTTCCTGCTGTAACTCACCGGGAACACAACAACAACAACCCCCTCCTCCTCCCCCTCAATAACAATACACAAATAAAACCTGACCTCAAACCCTTGAAACGCCTCATGAATCCAAATATCCTGAATACTCGAACGGGGAATAAACCTCGTATTCCCACCAGTCCAGAAATAACGATTCGAAGAAGTCGTAGTCTGCACCCCCAACCCTCGAATCACAAGCAACGACTCCTCCGTATACCCCTTCCTCGAAACCATCCAGACGACAACCGCACAAATCAGAAATCGAGCCGGTCGCGTGAGTCCGCGGAAATGGTCGAGGAAAAGTGGGAAGTGATAATAGCACGACCAGGGATTTTTCGGGAGGAAGACGGCATGGCCCGGGAATGCGAGGTGGGATTCTCGGAGGAGAGTTGTGGTGACGAATGCTGCTGCGAGGATGCGGAGGAGGATGGAGATTGTGCGGAGAGCTTTTGTGGTGAGGGTTTGGGATGTGGAGCGGGTTGAGACTGTGTAGAGGACTGTTGTTGGGGTTGGGCGACGTGTTGTGAGCATTTTTTTGGGGGGTGTTGGTTGATGTCGCATTGGGATGAGATGAGATTGTTTGGAGGTTTATCATATGGATGGAAGTCGCGGGTCGCCTGCAGGCTGGGGTCTCATTGGCACGGTCTGGTCCGTCGCTAGAATAACGCGTCCGAGCTTTGGGCAGCGCTTGAGTCGTTCACACAAATCGCCCGAAGTGGTGCTCATCCAAATCTCTCAGACAAATCGAATAGCGGATGGCGACAGCGAGTGGAATGCGAAAAGACTTCATTATAATTCAATCTTTCATGATCCGTCATTATCTGGTCTCAATTCCTCAAGCCCCGTCTTGAGACTAATCATTAGAAGATTCATGCTGACCTAGGCGCAAGCTCGTCTTGTCTTGCTCCACCTGAATGCCTTGTTATGCGCTGTACAAGTCCCTATCGCTGAACGCCTCGCTAAAATCAAATGTCTAATTACAACCATGATGCATGCCCTGGGTTATCTATTCTGATCGTCATAATCTGGTTGACGATGTTGATGCGTTGCTTAACAACCGGTAGTGGCCTTTGCGCCATCGAAGCGGGCCCGCTGATGGGGTTCCTGTTTTCCAAGAGAGATATCGACGATATGCTTCCAGAAGGATATAGATCGTTAGTGCGGTACACACCGCAATGATGAGTATGTTCATAGGTGATAAGTTGGTGATCTCATGCGGTAGGCTTGCCGAAACCGCGGGCATATGAGAAGCCACCACACCCCGATCGATGACACGGCTGGTACCGTATGGCAGACGTCGTCCTTTTTCGTCCAAGGCGATTACCCGCAGGTATCGTGAATCTCCAACAGCGTCCGGCAGTAATATAGAGGCTTCGAAGTCTTCTTTGCGCGCCACGACGAGATCTTCCCATGGTTTCTCATCTTCTGTATTTCTTTCTGAGCATTGCAAGACCCATTTGGCGACCTCGGTGGCGCCGTTCCATGAAACGTAAATCTCTGCGTCATCGTCGCTGATATCGACTGCAGGAGGCACTTCAGGCATGCCAACCCACGGAAATTTGTAGGATCGGTAACTTTGAATGTCGCCTCGCTCCCAAGAAGTAGTCGCTCCGTAGTGCACGTCGCACAGAACGGTACCATCGGCATCGAATTCTGTCCAGACCGCATTGAGCCCAAAACCAACGAAGACCTTGGGATCCTGTCCTGGGCCTTGAGGCAATATCTGCATTGAGCCTTGGGATGACGACCGTACGTTCTGTGGGTTCTCGTACGACTTGACTACACGCACAGTGTAGTCAGGGTTCGTGCCATTGTTTTCCAAGACTTTTTTCATATTCAAATCATGCTCGCCCTCCACATTCACTCCTGATTGCCGCGTGGTCCTAGTCGATTCGGTCGGGAACGTGACCTCCAGCAGTAATCCTCGAGATAAGGGCATGCCATATTCGTAGTGCTGATCTTCGGCGGCATTATCAAAGAGTGTGATCAACTTCGTAACGTATCCGTCGCGTTCTCGTGGCGGCGTATACATATTCGGGAATGTGTCGACAGGCAGAAATCTCGCATCATGCTGCCATGCGAAGTTGGTTGCGTTGCCACCGCTCAAATCCATAAAATCGTTAAGCTTCCCTCCCAGAGTCCAAATGGTCTCGCTGGTCTTGCCATCGATATAGGCAATGCTGTGAGGATATCTGGCAGAGATCAGGTAGTTACCGAGATCATCTTTCTCAATGCTGTTTAGGTGAAACCAGTCAAACGGGTCATTTCGTGAGCCGCCAGGCCCTATGCCTCGATAAGTTGCTGTAATATCGATATGTTCTGATGCTCGCCATTGGTATACCAGGTCGCCAGTATCGATGCTGATCTCTTGGAAAAGGCAATCCCAGATGTACGTCGGATCGTCAGGCCGCTCGGGATCAGGCTCGTAACCTGGAAATGTTGTCACGTCATGTTCGGTGATTTCGTACATGGTCATCAGGGCGGTGCCTTGGTTGGTGATTAGAAACTCGTGGAGATCTGCAGAAAGGCCGCCTGCGGCTCCTACGCGATGCACAATGTCGTATGAAGCATTGAGCTGTTACTCGTCAGTGCCCCAGTCGCATGCCTGTACGTCACTGTGCTCACCATGTAATAGAATCCCGAGCCATGTCCGCGGACGCGATCATCACCAAGCCAAAAGGTCAGATAATCTTCTCCCTGGTATCGCTGCACCATGAAATCATATGCCTGACCACCGAACTTGTTATCGAAGTGCTTTGCCCAGACAAGGTTTCCTCTCTCGTCCAGCAGCATAGGTCCAGGGTTTGGAATTCCCCATCCTCGTGGAGTGATGAAGTATAACGATCCATCATTGCACCTCGGATGCCATTGCAGGAAGTTGGTTTGTGGTGAGTTCACGCCTTCTGCTGTGATATAGCTGCGCGTCGGGTAGTAGCCAAATGTGCCGTTGTCGATGGCTTGGTCGTAGGCAGGCGGTGCTTCTGGCACGGTGTCAGTGCGAAGCGCAAGAGCAGTCGCATGTTGGCATAGCGAAAATTGGCAGAGGAAGCGCCAGAAGCCGTTCATGGAGGCGGTTCCTGAAGTATTCTATGGGCCAGATGCGATTGCGGCTCGAAGATAACTGGCCGGCAGCACAGGATTGCAGATGGCGAGAAGCATGTGTAGGTGGTGAAGCAGCGAAGTCGAGTGGAATTGTGCGAGACGACGTCAAACAATCGGAGTAGTATTCTAGGCCCGGTCGGCAATGGCAATGGCAATGGCAATGGCATGCAGTGCGCAGTGGGGTGGCTCGTAGTGTCTCAGTAATGTCCCAACTGGGCCAAGTGCCAGGCTTCCGGTGAACCATGCACTAGGTAGGCGCTAGGCGAGAGGAGTCGACAAGTGTCCAGTGGACGCCAATGCTTGGCCAGCGTTGAGGATGTTGCAAGCGTGCAGAAGAGGTTTCTGAGGCGGAGGAAAGTGCAGTGCTGTATGCCTGCCTCACCGGTATAGTGGGATAGTGAAACAGCAAGAGCAATGGAGCATGCGTCACCGCCGCGCAAACGACGATTCCAGGTTAAGCGGAGCGGAGCTGCTGCCGCGCAAGGACTGACGTCGTCTGCTCGCACGGGCCACGCCATGACATCTAGCTTATTAACGTTAGCAGCTTCGAAGGAAGGCGAGCGCGCGAGCACAGCGCCAAAAAAGAACGAGTCGTGTGCGTCGCGGGTGTGGAAGCTGCGCCGTGTCTTGGCGGGGGCGGCAAATGCAGCCTGACGGCCTGATTCCACCTGGTATTCTACGGTATGTAGTACGTACCGAGGCTACCTATCATAGAATAGCATTAGCCATTCCACGTTCCTGCACAGGGCCACAGGTGCCATCGTGCCTGATGCCAGCAGCAAGACTTTTGGCCAAAGCCTGGCCGCGACGGGCGCAACTGCTGCTCATTGCTCAATGCCCGCCCAGACAGGATCCGATCTGATAAAATAAGCTGTACATGCACGTGAGCATGTGTACCTTCACTGCCATTGCCGAGCCGACCGGAGCCTCACGTCCTGAGTGCCTGTGCAGTCACATGTAACATGTGGCACTGTGCTGCGACAAGAAAAGCATCCCAGAAGCGCTCGTGTCAGCGCACGGGTGTGTCGGTATCAATGGCAAACCCACCACGCGTCCAACCAGGTGCCAACCAAATTCCAACGAATGCACCTCACAACCAGCGCTCGATCCATGATCCATGAAAGGTGTATTCAAGCTTCAATATGATTCCCCCAAGGTCCCAGCACACCGCACCTCACTCGTAACTGTCCACTCGTTCGGCGCTCTGACTGCTGAACCATATTGTTATTATACTCTTGGTGCCCAAAGTACAGCACGAGCATCCATCCTGTGCCCTCCTCGCTACCTGCATGCCTGAGATCGACCCCCCCAGGCAGAACAAATGAAATCCGCTCACATCGGCCCATGCCTCGCACTAATCCTCTGCCTGCCTCGAACAATCCCATCGTCATCACTCCGACTAGCCAGTCGACTCGCCACCCTACTCGACTGACTAGCAACATTCTCCCCACCTTGCGGTACCACCACCACAACCATCCAAAGCCCAACATTCCCCGTGTGGTGCATCAACGGCGTGCAGTGAATCCATCGAATAGTACTCTCCCCACTCTCTCCATCCTCACTTAAACTCCTCAACCACCTCACCTTCGCAGTCACCACCTTGGCATCCTGAAGCGCCGCGTGGAGGTCCTGTCGCATTCTTGTGCCCCCGATACGATGTAGGAATTGCGATTGCAACACCCCGGGCACGCGAAGGGTTGGGGAAGCGAACAGCACTCGTAGAGAGGGATAGGGCCGGACGAGGAGGTACTGTAGAAGTCGTTAGCATATCTCATGCCAAAACCCCACCACACGTGACCAAACTGACGTATTTATAAACGCCCCTCAAATTCAGTTCCGTCAAAGGCAGTTCCGCAGGAATCGTACTCTCGTCCTCTTTCTCTTCTACTACTTGTTCCTCACGTTCCAAATCCTCATCCGCGAGCAAAACTCTTCCAGGCCCCATAGCTTTCGACGGCGACGTCTCGGCTTGAAGCTTATGGTCAGCGCGTCTTTGAAGCACGCCCCCGAATTTGGAGATTGTGTTGAGTTCTCTGCCATTCAACATTTCCGATAGAGGTTTGATTGGATCTGCCGAGTCGGAGCGCGCTGGACCGCTTTCTTCTTCTTTTTGACGCTGCCGTTCAACGAGGCGAGTCAGGCTGTCGAGACCGCTGCAATTTTTGAGGAGGCCGGAGACGTCGACTTGGGCGCCGAGGAAGTAGCGGAGTTTGCCACGGCTATAGATAGAGGTGTCAGTATAAGGCGGTGCGATTGAGAGGTAGCGATGCTTGCTCACCTATCAATCAAATGAGCATTCATGACCAGACTGAGAAATGGACTACCATCCCTTCGATAATTCACGAAAATTTCAGAATGATCCTCGCCCTTCTCAATTGAGATTGCGAAACGACGACAGGAATCGATCGTTGTACCCGGCCCTTGCATGAAACGACAATTGCGCCCGAGGATGTAGTCCATTGGACATCCGGAGTGACGCGTGAAGGCTGGGGATGCTAGGATGATTGGATTGTCTCGTCGTGTCGGGTCGGTGATGCAAAAGACTTCCGCGAGGCCTTGACTTGTTTCTCGGAGAGGCGCGGGCAGTGTGTTCATGATTCGACTCTGCATGACTGCACCAACGATGCCAATGTAGGTGAGTGCGATGTACCAGTGTAGATCATCGCCGAGGAGTTCTTGGAAGGCATGAGTTGCGGCATGCTGGAGTTGCGCATTTGCCGCACTGCCGGGAGGCTGTGGGCAGCCCTCGTAGCCACCACCACTTGAAAGCGACTGAGCTAGAGAGTTGGCGTAGTTGAGCGCGCGAATTGCTTTGCATGCGTCCCAATAGTAGACCAAGATCGGCAATCTCCACGGACGGTATCTACGCAAGAATGTTGAAAATTTTGAATGAAAGTCAGTGTCCTAGAGACTATCAGCGAAACCCAATGAAGCCGTACAATCTCCATACTTCAAGGAGGATGTGCAAGTGCTCTGCACTGTACAACTGCTGTGCTCGTTTCTCGAGTGAATACAACTCATTATCCCACTGCTCCTCGGTTCTTATATTTGGCTTGATGACGTTCCACGACTCCGGATCGTCTACGGTGTCGAGTTCCGTCTCGAGAACATCGCTCCTGTCAGCGGAAGGAGTCTGCAGTTGTGCCAAGGCATGCTGTCCCAATGTCGTTGGCACACCTATGCTGTAAGATGCGACAGAACCCGGTGGAGAGAGCATTCTGGTCTGCGGCGGTCGAGGAAATTGGTCGAGAGAGTGCTCTTTGCCATTGGAATCGGCCGGGGTGGGAGGTCCTGACCTGCCGGTGTGATGTGAAGTCGTGTGTAACTGTGGCTGATACGGCTTATGGTTGCCACTGCTGCTTTCACTCAGTCCTATGCTATGAGGATATACACTGTGAAAAGAGTTCACGTACCCAGCGTGCCTAGAAATTGGACTCTCACTTGCTCTAGGCATGGCGAAGGGCACCAGGGGAGGTGCCGGGGGCGGATACACTTCGGACGGGACTGGTGACCGTGGACGTAGAAGTCTGTCGTCAAATCGGGACGAGCTCAGTGAGACGTCGTCGCGGCCAAGTTCATTCGCTGGTGGTTTTGGCGGAGGCTGGCCATCGGTCTGCCTTCCTCCGCGTTGGTCCTTGGCTTTCACCTCTCTGTTGGCCATGCTAGATGTGCGGCCGGGAACGGGAATTGGCGTATATGGTGGCAGAGGCTTTGTTTCGACCAGACTCGAAAGGTTCAAAGATTCTTCAGACCCTTTGTTGATGTAGGGTATTGACCATGCTTGCTCAGAGGTCGCCGTTGATATGACTTGCTGCTGCTCAATCTCGGTCAAAGCGCGGACGCAAAGCTAGAATTTGGCTTGCTTACTGGGAGCTGTGGTGAGCCTTTGCTTTCGTCAATGCTTCGTAGGGTGTCGGACAGAACGTCCTCCGATCGCGCGTGTCGAACCTGTTTCTTGCGAAAAGGTGCAAATGTAGGAAAGAGTCTGTGCGATGGCCTTGAAGTAGACTCCATGTGGACGATGAAACAGAGGAGAGGGGTCTGACTGGGCGTGCTGAAGTAGGCGCGTTGTTTATATCGAACCTACATGAAGGACATGCTCCGAGAACTTCATGGAATGACCTTCTGCCGAAATGGCACCATTTGAATTGGCTGGGCAGCGTTCTCCGAGGCGATTATCGAGAAGGAAGTGAGAATCGACCATTCTTTCCTTGACCTGCTCGAGAATGGCTAGTAGCTGTCCTATCAAGAGTCCTGACTCCCATCCTAGCATGGAAGGTCAGTGGCTCCGGGATTGATACAGCATGGGTGTAAGCCCGAGCCCAGACGTTTTTGACGCAGAGGGCCAGAGCTCGAAAAACGCCAGGTCGAAATTCGAATCGCTGATAATGATATTCTGGGGTTGTTCAGGGATCAAACAATTACCTTTGGACAGGCCCATTGAATCCAATTATGGACATCAGAATCCCCGTTCCCATGCTGCCTTTCCGGAAGGCGAGCAGTGTGACTACTGCTGGCCAGACGTGCGTCGCAGCTCAGGCACGACGCGGAAAGCGTAAGTTAACAGCGTACACCGCCATGAGAGGATGAGTGTTCTCGACCGTAAAGTGCGCACTGTGTCTTTTGCCGCCCGCGGTGACGGACCAGGTCGCTCGGCTCGGCTCGGGTCGAGAGAACTTCGCTTGAAGTTGATGATATGACAGCTGCAGGTCCAGGCACAGCTGCAGGTACAGGTACAGGTGCAGAGTCTCTGCACCTCGGACGGTCGGAGTGCTGTGCAGACCGCGCAGAATGAGCATTGCTATTCGCTGCAACCCTTGAAATCCAGGATCATCGGGCGACCAGAGACGCTGTACAGGCCCTTCGTGGTCTCAACTCCGTACCCAGCAGGCGTTCGCTTGTGAAGTATGAAACGACAGCCAAAGGCTATTGGCATTCTCCACAAGTAGAATGGATCATTAATGACGTCCTGGGAATGTATGATATGTCATTTATGACATCTCCTTTGAGACATCTCCTTTGTGACATCTCGTTTACGGTTTATAATACAAGTAATGCATGCACACAGACCTCTCGTAACCTGTGCACGGCCTGTGCGTAACACTTAGTCCGTGCGTAGGATCTCTAGGGATGGTTTTTAGTTTGCGGGAAACCTGATTAGGCTTGGCTTTACTGTTCGTTATTTGATAGATCTATTCCTAGATCCTGTGTATAAGAAGAAAATTAGGTTTCTAAATCCTTATTAGACTCTATAAAGTATCTACTATTACTAGTATTACTACAGGTCTAGGGCCAGATTTTCAAATAAACTCAAAACTCAGCTATAGCTAATAGATCGATTAAATTTTATAAAACTTTTAAGCTAGAGTCTTCTAAAGTACAGCATTACAGTTATAAAATAGATATATTCTATACTATTTTACCTAGTAGTAGTTATACTATAACGGGGAGAATAGATAGTAATATTAACTCTAGCTATCTAAATAGATAATAAAGAATAATAACAAAGCTATTTATATAATAAAATAACAATATATTCTATATTCTAACTAGTATAGTAGAGAATATACAATAGACTTAAAACCTAATAACTAGAAACAGACGGTATATATACATATATATTTTATATCCTACATAAGCTATACTAGGTACGACTAACTAAAAGCGCAATACAAATAATATACAAATTACACAATCATACGTCGCTCGTCGCAAAGCGCGTACGATTTAACACAAATCGCACACTCACACTGCCCAAGCCTAATAAGCAACGTGACTTCAAGTTGACCGCCAACCAAGGGTCGGTAGTGTTCAGGTGAAACCAAAACAGGAGGTAGCAGACATGCTCTATAGCGTCCTCGCGCTAGGGATGTGGGTTTACAGCCTCCTGAGTCTTGAGGTCCGGACTATGTACACTGTATAATACACTGGTGTATACCAGTGTATACACATCGGCTATGCCCGAATACTAGGATATGTCTTGCGTGGGGGCCGTTGGTAGGCTTGCAGGGAACTCGAGCGCCGCGTGAGTCTATAGCCATCAGGCTGGATAAGACACCGGAATGCCAATAAATGTAGAATCAGTTGTTGACAAGGACCACGGCTTTGAACAACCTCTGCTCTTCAAAATTGCGCTGAAGATGTATGCACGGTCAGATACTTGTGCCAAAGCAACCAGACTTAGAATTCTGCTCCGCACGCTTGTGATGATTGTGTTTGTTGGTTCAGCCGGAGCTGACTGGTGGAATGATAGCCACTTCGTCGCCTTCTTCAATCACAAGGCCCTGCTCGCCTTTCGCGGCCTCCTCTTCCGGGTCCACGTACTCCAAATTCACGGTCACCGCACTTGTCGATAAAACCTTTTGTTTGATACCAGGATATCTCTTGTCTACTTCATCATGCAGCTTGCTCAGATGCAAGGGCGCGGGAAGGAAATCGAGCTCTTTCTGTGTGTGCGATGTGGCGGCCGCGAAGTACAGCAGCGTAAAGTGGCCCGCCGGCGCTTTGGGACTACTCATGTCTATGGTCACTGCTATGGACATGTCAGCCAATGCAAATGTTCTGCAATCAAGATTCTAGTCGATCATGGTTGTGCAGGCTCAGGGTTGTTTTGGGTGATCTCCAGTATCTCCCGTCTTGAAGACGAGTCAGGTAATACATGCTTTTAGAACATCATGTGAAGCTGAGAGGGAGGGACCGGACTGGACTGTCAACATACCTTTCTGTCTGTCTTGTCAGTAGTGTAATAAGGTCGAAGTGACTTCACGGCAGCAAAGGAGCGAAGGCTGGGTCGTGCGTTGCCAAGCCAATGCTGCACGTGCACCTCCATCATCGTGGTATCTGGCATCTGCCTGTGACTCTGCCTGTATGCGACGGCGATTTGGCTTCATTCACTTATGGACGGAATCTAAGGGAATACCTGTATATTCCTCACCAGACACCTCGCACTCATTTGACCCACGACCTGCCTTTCCTTGCACCGCAAAAATGTCGCCAGTCACACCCAATCCGCGCACCTGGACGCTACGCTGCAAGAACGGCCGTAGCACGATTCTTATAGAAGTCGATCCATTGCAGAAGATGCAAGGCGTGCGTGCTGAGCTACTCCACGCGATTCAAGAGACCAATCCGTCTGGCAGATTCAATGGCCAAGATATTCCCAAGAACCCAGACCTCATCAAATTTGGCAGAGCCATCGATCGCAACAACATCAGCCTCGGCTTTGTCTCTATCGACAGCGAGACTGCGGAATCAGGTGCAGAAACGAGTGGCAAGGGCAAGGGAAAGGGAAAGAGCGCTGTCGGCACTCCGGCTTCAGTCAGCAAAGGCAAGGCTTCTCTAGGTGCCATTGCCGATTGCCCACAAGGCGCAGGCTTCAAAGACCGGGACGTCGTCGCGTTCAAGTTCGTGGCTGATCACACTGCGCCTGAGGCTGGTGACGCCGTTGTAGACATTGTGGAGCAATGGGATGTTGATGTACCGACAATTGAAGAGATGTATGGCGAGGATGAGGTTCAGGAAGAGGGCATAGACATGGAAGAGGGTTGAGCGGTGGACGCGATACAGCAGCGATAACAGTCCAGTCTCTCCAGGCCGGTCCGCGATGACTAGCACTCTGATACACCAGACATGCGGCTACGACTGTTCAAACCACCCGCCTTTCAGCATTCCGTACGATAGCACCAACTTCCGGCCGCGGGTCAACCCTGCGGATGCCACCGACTGTGTCATGAATGACATGCCGGCAACATGCATCGCGCTTCGCCAGAAATGGGCATTCTGGATCTCGCTAAAGAGGAGTTTCCAAGGCACTGGCACGTTTTCAGGACGGGAAGCAGGACTTGCCGCTGTCAGAGCCGCAACGTGGTTTTTGACGACACTTCAAATCCGAGAAGACGTAAAGAAGTGATGGCAAGACAACTCACACTCACCGCGATCGAATGCTATCGAATACAAATGCATCCACTAGCTTCACTTGTACGATGTGGAGGCCTATTAGTTTGCTACGCCTTGTTTGCTCCTTCCATCATATGACTGGACCATTTGACGAGAATCGCCAAGCTAGATCGTATCTGATATCGCGACAATGCTCGCTCCGCAAGACTTGAGACACCCCGGTCATCGTCCGAAGGCCGAGGAGTGCGATCTTAATGCTTTACCCGACAGCTAGCCGCTCTGGGTCTCAAGACGAACAAGACGACGAGATCGCCCTGTCATTTTCGACAGCAGCAGGGCGTTAAGTCTAGGCACTGTAGCATTGGTGGACAGCCTTTCCCGACACTCTCTGGGTTCACATTGTCAATGCAATCAGAGCAGAGATGCAGTGCTCGATGTAGCTGTTGGCCAATGTCTGCTGCAGCATCCTGCACTGCCCACTGGCTACCGACATCGTTTCTCCCGCCCGCCTGGTCAGCTTTCCGTTGACGTGTCGCCATCGCACCGACAAATGGTCTCTTCCACCTTCTTGCCCTGAGCCGCTGCTACGGCCTGCAATCGCTCACGAGCGCACAATCGGGAAGCGGCACCCGGACATGGTTCAGACGGTCAGTAGCGCTTTTCACTGTCACATATCACTTGCTCCTTTGGTCTGTGATAGACCCGTTACGCTCAGTATACGATATCTGAAACTGACGCGCGACTGCAACGAAGTTCCTGTCCATAGCTCCCCAAGCTTTCATTCTTGGGTCTTCCGGACGCTATCGAAAGGCTGCATGATATAGTTCACGCTCACAACGAATAGTCAATGCCACCCTTTTCCTAGCTTAGCAGAATAGCTGACTGTGAAATTCGGACGACTTCAGTGCACAGAACCTGGCGACGTTTCCCAGCATGGTGATAGTCAAGCTACTGGCCTTATAATGCCCAACAGGCATCAGCTGTTGCACTTGCAACGCGACAAGCCGAGGCGCAGCTGTCAATGCGTAATTCCGTCTTCATGACCTGGTTGGACCCGCTGCATGAGGTTCCTCAGCACGTTGTGTCACCCTTCTTCACGACTTCGATCATCAACCACATGCCCGCTCTGATTCAGAAGCACAATGGGAAGGTCCATGCACCACAGATGCCGAGACCCAGTGAGCCTTGCACAGATGCGCAGCTGAGAAGAGCGTAATGGTAGAGCTCAATACTGCTGCCCATAGCCACATCTCATGGATCTAGAAGCACGGATTGCACAGCTGAGCGATGGAGAAAAGCTCACCTACTAAATCTGGAATAAAGCATTGCATGACATTTCTCGAGCTCGAAGAACGGTGCTCTCTGACTCCAAAGGCAAGACAAAAGCCATCTCGTACCACCAAACACGCGATTTTGTGTGTTCGCTTTGCAAACACTTGCCTCACAATAAAGCGAAATGGCAGGCAGATCCAATGCTCCCCAGACATGCATCCCCTCTGACTCTTTCATCCACGCGCTTTCCTTTGTGACATACTTGCTTGCTCCATCATTGCTATCCCAATATATTAAACCAAGCAATGTACTACCCGAGCAGCGCTACCACCAGCTGGAGAACCGAACAAGCCTACAGATCTCCAACCACAACCGCACACGTTTCAGAGCATGCCCCTAACAACAATCCACTACACATGTCCCCATACCCGCCAAATTCAAGGCCGAGAATGTTCCTGTTTCTACAATCAAATGCTGAAAATCAATGATCCTCGTCACTTCAATTCCCCTTGGCTTCCCTTCGATCGTTTGCGCGGTTGTCGACACGATCGGACAATTTATCGACCCTATGCGTGTTCGGAGTGTAGAGAGCGGAGGGAGAGGGAGTTGGAGAGGTTGTATTTCTTGGAGAGGTTTGGCGGCGGGAGGAGAGGAAGTATGGGCAGACGGAGACATGGTGAGGGGTTTGGTGGAGGAGGAGGAGGTGGTGGGATCTGGGTTGATCGATGGAGGAATGGACCTTGGTGGTATCCTAGGGATGGGAGGGAGAGGAGGTGGTGATTGGTGGTGGCAGAGAGTGAGGAACTCGATGATGCATGCATGCATGACTGAATCTTCAAGTCGTCGTCGTATGGATCTGGTAGCCACTGCGAAAAGCAAAATGAGGTGCACGGCTCTCTGTGGTTCGAAGACAGGGCTTGTGTGAGGTGTGCAGAACAGCTACGCCATGACGAAAGGCAAAAGAACACGGCCATTGAAATAGCGTTGGTATGATGAGGTTGGTCAGTTGATTTGCATGTACATATACCGCGATGACGGCTTCGAAGTGCCAATGGGCGTTGTTCAGCTGGTAGTTCTGCGACACAACATATTGTGTGAGTGTTTTCCGATTTATCTCGAGAACCATGATAAAAGTAAAGACAACCACGCAGCTACTCATAGCTTTCCATATAATGATACAAAAGTTCTAGGTGACTTCGGTCCCAGGGTATCCAACCTCATGAGTCTCTCTCTTTGCCCCCCAGGTCAATGTGTAATGATACAGTATCTCCTTCCACGCTGATGCAATCGTCGTTCGAACAAACCAGAAACAAAGAGAAATTATTACTTCAGTCCAAAGCCTTCACTCTCATAAACAGCTCTCCAGAGCTTCTCCTCAAGCTGCTCACGATAATCATACCGCCAGAGTACCAACATGTTGAAACAAGTTCTCGCAACTGGAAATCTGCTTCTTTCGTCCAGGCCACCACCGCCCCATCCATCGCCGCCAGCTTGGATTCTCAAAATTAGACTTGTTGCGCCAACGGCAGGGATGCGATCAGTGCCGGTGATGAAGGTTAGTAGCTTCCTTTGCTTCTCAGGAGAGGCTTCGGCGAAAAGCTCCCAAAACCAAGTGATGACAGGTACAGATTCCGCAGGCTTTTGAATGGCCTGGTGAGGAGGCTGGAAATGGCGCCAATTCTCGTATTGCGCAACAGCTCGGAGAGAGTCTACGTCCAGACTTTCGTCAGAGCCGCGGATGAGCAGTTCGATTTCTTCGGCTCGAAACAGCGACAATGCGTTGCCCTGGCAGACTTGAAAGAAACCGCGCTTGAAAGGCTCGAATTGTCGCACCACTGCAGTGTCGAGCATGTATCGCACGTACGCATCGACGAATTCGTGCCGGTTCGCGTTTGTGACTGGTATATTGGTGCCGTTCGCTTTCAGAGGTACATCGGTGGTGACACCATATCGCTCAACCGAAGCAACAAAGTCGCGACAGTATGTTGCTTCCACATCGCCATCGAAGTCGAGCAGCTTTTGCAGACCGGCTGCCAGCGAAGGACGAAACTCTGCAAGATCGTTGAGCGTATATGTCATCTGACCTTTGGTGCCTGTTAAAGATGATACATTGGTGTTGGCAGCAGACGTGACGGACGACGGGGCAGCAGCGAGCAGTTTTCGGAAGGCAAATGGAGGCAGCGCGACATCCAAGATCGTGCTGTTGTAGATTGCCAGACCGAGGAGGGCACCGACGAGGAAGTATTGGTCCGAAGTCTCGAAAGAGTTTGGATTGAAGTAGCAGGTGTTCGATTCATCGTCGTACACGAACATGCCATGGTTTGGATCGAAAATGTCGCGCACGAGCATGAGGAACCACTCTTTCCTCGGCCCGCCAGCATCGACACCCTCCTCGTCGGTGAAATGCACACGCAGCCCTTTCTTCAACTCCTCCTGTCCTGACCCGACAGCTTCACTGATCTGGCGAAGACTGTCATCAACCATACATTCACGGCGGACACGGAGGTGAAAGTGGCCATCGATCGTTCGATTGTGGAGAACCTGGTCAAAATACGCCTCGCGGGCTTTGACTTCCATTTGTCGTCTTGCGTCGTGCTCCAGAATCTTGATCTTGGTGCCTATGGAGATGAAAATAGGATACTTGCAGAAAGCGAACTTCTCTCGTCGAGTTTCCCAAACCCGAAAGTCCGCGATCATATCGTGGTAGTCCAGTAGAGTGTTGTAGAAACTCGAAGTGTGCAAGAGTTGGCCGCTTCTCCTGGCCTTGGCAAAAGGTGAGACACTGCTACCAGCTACAAGTGAGTCGACTCGAGTCTCGTCGGTTTGACGACGCTTTCCCTGCCAGATGTTGTTGGCAGTGAACAACATCGACATGACGCTGGCCGCGACCTTGGTCTGCCAGTCGTCCGTCCATTCAGGCTCTCCGCTCGTGTCATCTTTGCTTTTCTTGACCGATCCGCTCAAGCCCATGGCAGCGTGCAGTTGAGCAGAGGTGTTCATTGCACCACCTGTGAGATCCGGAATCAAGCCGCCGTCAACGACAGCACTCATTCTACGAGGCTTACCGTTTCGGCGGTCGATACGATGAGTGACGAAGCTGGCAACAAGATCGACAGTCTTCACAAAGTGATCTTCATCGTATCGCGAGAACCAGCCCGCAAGATACCAGTGACAGTTTTCTGGAGTGCCGGAAAGGAGACCAAATATTCGCTTTAGAAGGCCATTGTGCTGACTTCCAACATGGCCAGGTGACTTCCCGGTTGTAGGTTTAGGGCTGGCCTGCACGCTCCCATTTTGCTGTCCCGCGGTAAATTGCCCGGGAATTGTGTTCCTGCCGGATTTCGTCCTTTTCGGTTTCGTCGATGGGTACAAAGATGGGTTCATGAGTATGATCAGAAGCCATCGCAAGTCATCTGGTTCCTTCAATGGTCTGGTGGGTCGTTTCAATAGATTCTCAGTAATCTTCAGTAGCGCCCGGATGGCGTGCTCTCTAGCTTCAGCAATATCGTCGTCAATCATGTCAGCATTGGCATCACCTAGGATGTCATCTTTGACAAAGCCAGCTTCGTCAGGTTTCATTGACTCAATCTTCGACGTCCAGTCTTCTCCGGCGCTGTGAATTAGCTCATACCAGGAGTTCACTTCGCGCCAATTGATGTTTGGGGATTTTGATGCGACCGCACGCCGTGGCCCTTCGCCGACCTTTTTGCGACGAATAGCTTTGTCAGGCCGATCCAATTTGCCAGTCCACCAGGTCCCGTTCTCAACGATGTCACCAAGCAGAAGGGTCTTTGCATCCAACTCAGATAGGCCATCCACAGGACTCGGCTTCACGTCCGCAGCGGGTTCAGGTGGAGGCGTCGCAATGTCGCCAGCACTACGCGCTCGCACCTTCATGGCAGGCCTCACTGTGCTGAATGACGAGTTCAGACACTGAAAGTTGCCATAATTTGCAGACATGTAGTCTTCGAGTGGCCTGAAGATGGTCTTAACACGGTCGTAGCGACGGCGCTGTTCGGTCTCTTCCGCAGTAGCTCTTGGAGTTGCCAGATGCCGAGGCGAAATATGTGCATTCGATCGCAGACCACCACTGGGAGGAGGTAGCATGTTGTTCGAAGGCCGTCTGTTGGGGAAGCTCATTGGCGGAGGAGGAGGTTTGCGTGATGGCCTGGCGGGTATCGGCACTGGCTTTCGAGAGACAGAAGGTGGAGGGATAGGCTCATCTCCTGCTAAGGTGCCAGTGACGAGCGGAGTGTCAAGGCGAGTGCCGCTGAATGGGCTGAAGTCTGTGTGCTCGCGTATAGCTGCACTCGGCGCAAGTGTAGCGGCCCCTGCCTTGGGCGCATCCGGCCGAGAAGTCGAGATGGCGTCTTCTGTCGGCTCTTTCGCTGCAGGTGCTGTTTCGAGGTCGATGGCACCCATCGCCGCTGGCAACTGATCAGGACCGAAGACATCCTCCTGAGGCGTAGGGGGGGTCCGTGATGCAGGCTCGTCAGGCTTTCGACATCTTGACTCCAGATAGGTGACGATGCATTTGTCGATGATGGCACGCGTTCGCTCGACGGATATAGGCAGCTTGCCGGCATGGTGGGCATGTCCTGGATATGTGTCGGCCCTCTTCACCTGCGGCCTATCCTTGCCCCCCTGCTCGTGCTCTTCGACTGGCTTGAGGTCATTGACGGTCAAGCATGCTATACACCTAAATGTGCTCAGGTCTCTTGGCACATTGACCTTGTTGTCACAGCACATGCATCTCCTCGCTGCCTTGCTGTCGTCATCTTGCTTTCCCTTTCTGCCCGAAAGCAGGCTCGTCGGCGCACTCTGCGCTGGTCCATCGTCCAGCACTGGCACCAGCCCATCGTCCCAAGCAACATCTGCATCGTTGAAATTTGTGCTCTTCTTGCGCCCGAAGATCTTGGGCAGTGGATGACTGATCGAGCGGCTATGCGCATGCTGTCGTGTGCCATTCGCACGTGGCTTGGTCGGGGTCGGACTTGCAGCAAGTCGTTCCGGGTTCAGTGTCGGCGGATCGAGATAGTCGTTCGGTGGTCGCGGCCGTGTTCTGGTGCGATTCACCGCATTGTTATTGCTGTTCACTGATGCGGAGCTGGGCGCAGAGCTGCCACTGCCACTGCCACTGCCACTAGACAGCAGTCGGCTGGACCAAGACGAAGGCATGCCGACGCGGCGCTCATCTGTCCCAGCTGTTCTCGTGCTCCGCGCTGCAGTCGTCACTCCTCCACCCAGGATGTGGTATGGTACAGAGATTGGCGCACATCCAAGAGCCTCAGTCACCAAGCAACGAACGCGTGTACGGCAGCGATTCCTCTGACGCGACCGAGGGTCCAGGTTCAGGTCAGGTTCAGTTGTTGGCGGTATGGAAGGCAGGCAAGCTACCTGCGCCTCACACAACAGCAGCCACGGCTTGGGCTGGCAACGCAATCAGTACAAGCGAGCAGTAGCTGCCGTGTTGCAGAGATACCAGACACATTTGCAAAGCATGATTCACACACGGGAACGTTAACGTATTTCTGCTGCTACAGTAGAGACGTCGTCTGCCAAGCTCAATACGAACCGCTTGCCGGCAGCGAGGGGGTGAACCTTCGCAAGGGCATCCCATACTGGCACTCGCACTAATCGTTAAGCATGGAACCACTTCTTCACGCGTTCGCACATACATTTAGCTCATGAGATTACGTTTGAGACTTGAAGGCGCTTCAAAGTCGTGGTTGGAAGGAAATGAGACCGAGGGTCGACGCTCGGAAGTCAATCGTGGTAATTTGATCTCATTTCACATAGCCCGACACGCCGGCTTTCGCTACGTGACCGGAGGTGGACCGCACAAAATGCACGCCATATGCCCTCTGACAACGTGCAATAGACTTGCCCATACCGTTGCAACTCCAGCGCGAAGGTGATGCAGCATGACTTCCATAAATTCTCGACAACCGCTTTCAACTTCCCACTTATCGGTAGCGCCAGAGAGACAGGGTGTTCTGGCGCTTCCAGGTGTGACGACGGCCGGCCTTGGTGTTGTTGTAGCGGTGGCCCTTGTTGAGACCTCTGCTCTTCTTGCCGGTGGCAGTCAGACCACGAGACTCGCGGTGCTTGTGCACTGGGTTCACGATCCAGTTGATGCGTGGGTCCTTGCGGATGGCCTTGTGCTGTGGGTCAACGAGGATGATCTCGTAGTACTTGTAGGTCGAGTCCTGGTTGATCCAGTAGCTGTTAAGCACGCGCAAGTTGGCGCAGCGGCGGCCAACACGCTCCTCGGCGGTGGACTTGAGCGAGCGCTGGTACTTGAGTTGGTTCACACCCTGGTTGGTTGGCTTGCCTGCATAGACACATCAGCATTTCTCTCTCCTCTCTTGTCTCATGCGAGCATACCGTAGGTGGCACCCTTTGGCACTGGCCTCTTGCGACCACCGCGGCGAACACGCACACGGTAGATGACATATCCCTGCTTGGCCTTGTATCCGAGGCGGCGGGCCTTGTCTGGGCGGGATGGGCGCGAGGCGCGGTGGATGACGTTCAGCTGGCGGAGCTAGATTGATGTACTCTCAGCAAATGATCAACGAGTACGATCAAAGCACAAGCATGTGCAGCCAACGCTGCACTGCTTTATGCCGCTCATGGAATATCGGGTCGTACCTCCCAGCAACGAACGCGGAGCAAGAAGCGCATGACATCGCTCTGCTTCTTCTTTTGAAGCTCCTCGAGATACTTGTGGGCACCCATCTGTAGCCGGAGTTAGCACATGTGCGGTGGAGTTGTGGCTGTCGCAGTCTCGATGTGAAGACGGTGTAGCAATTCGAATATCCTCGTCTGTTCCAATGCCATCTTCTCCATCGATTCGTGCGGTTCGTCGTACCTTGGCTGTGTGGGCGGGTGTTGCTGGTCGATTGGCGACGTGCCTTGCGAAGTCTCGAAAGTCGATGGAAAAGCTGGAGATGAAGGTGCGATGCCAAGATGTGGAAATTTCCGACGAATCAGATGAGCTCAACCACTGTTGGCTGCGCTGGGATCATGAAACATGGCCGCCCTTGCTGAGTGCACATGATCTTTCGACGACTTCAGTTTGGTCGGTGAAAGTCCTGTTCACCCAGTAATGGTCTCCAAGGCCTTGTTATCACAGTGTCTGCTCAAATTGCCTGAAGTGCTTGGAATGGATTTCAGCGTGGAACGCGGTTATTGCAGTAGCCGCTCTGGCACACGATTACTTGCCCAGAACGAGGATAAGACGGGTCGTTCCCACTGCTGATGGAATCAAGCTTGCCTCTGTACTTTACTATTGCCTTCAAAGTCAAGAGCGCTGAAGATCGAACGCGCTCCATCACCATGCCCTCGACGGACCAGACGTCTGGAGCCCGCTCACCCGGCATGGCAGGACCCCAATACCATCAAGTCCAGGAGACATGAATCTCGTCTGAAGCGCCTCACTCTCTGTGTATGCGCTTCTTCATCTTCCAATCCGGCCCAGGTGCCCAGCAATCCAGCAGACAAGACGGCAAGCGACTGCAGAATACTCGCCATCACTTTGTCGACATGCATCGCGGAGGCAGCCGTCCTGGTCTGCAGCTCTGAACATCACAATCCAATGCTGCCCACTTGCCTTGCCCCGGTCCCAAGCACGTCCAAGCATGGCAGCATATAATCTTTCTCCCCGCTGCTTGAGGCAATGCCTGCGCGTGAAACAGCCAACGTAACCTCTCTCTCTCGACTTTGTTGAGGCACAGAATCGCTCGCAAGTATGGCGCTGCCAAGGCAAGCTATCTGCTCTCCCCACCTCGCTTCTTCCATCCCCTTTGCTTTCCGCTGCCGTTGAATTCTCAGACCATTTTCAACACCAGTCCCATCGCGTCGCGGCTGTGGAGTCACATAGATGTGTCAAAAATGGAGTCAAGAAGGTTTTGGAGGCGAATTTGCCTTTTCCTGATCGGAGTCGCAGGAATACAGCTCATCACTGTCCTTTACAATAGCATAGGCAGCTCCACAGTGGAAGTGGTATCCGAGCCCTCCTCATCTGTCCCTGAGATGGTGGCAGAAGACAACAACGAGGACTTTGAAAAGGTAGCGGCTGCAGGGCTTCAGCCATCAAGATCCAACGCCGACTGGTTGGTGACTAAAGAGGCACAAGTCGATACTGGACATGGCCTGCCTGATAATTTGACTGAAGCACAATGCACAAGTGCATTTCCCGACCTTTACCGAGAAATTGAGAGAGCAGTGGCGTACTGGAGAAATCGGCAGCATACAATCGCTGCTGAGGATGTCGATATAACATGGCGAAACCAGAGCAACAATGGTGGCGGCGCTATGCGAGTTCTCGTTCACAACCAAGAACTGCGAATCTTGGAATCAATGGACACAATAAGTCACGTAGGCTATCGAGGTCGCGCGTTTGGCATATTGGGGTTGCTCCAGCGCGCAGTTGAAAGTGCGATAGCGGGAGGAGAAATTCTGCCTACCATTGAGGCGGCACTGCTCTTCGAAGATATCTCCAATCCTCCAACTGACGAGGGTACCCATTCTTTCTGGACCTGGTCATCCCTCAAAGATCATGCCCCTCATGAACGTCTCTGGCTGATACCCAACTTCGATTTCTGGTATTCCAGTCCTCAAGGCTCGTACGAAGCAGCACGAATGCATGCCATGAGAAATGATGCGCCATTTGCTCATAAAATTCCTAAAGTCGTTTGGCGCGGGACGGAATGGACCAACAAGGAGTTGCGAGATGGACTGGTCAATATTGGTGCCGACAAAGATTGGGCGGACCTCAAGTTCATCGATTGGAGCTCAAGCGAAGCAGGAAACAAGATTCCTGTTGAGGACCTCTGCAAGTACGCTTTGACAGTCCACACCGAGGGCGTGAGCTACAGCGGCCGTCTGAAGTACCTGCTCAATTGCGACTCGCTCCCGATTGTGCATGACCTGAAGTGGAACGCACATTACTACCATTTGCTGATCAAGGACGGACCTATGCAGAACTACATTCATGCCAAGCGCGACTGGAGCGATCTGCCAGCGAATGCGGAATTCTACCTGAACAACACGGATGAGGCGAAGCACATCATTGCAAATTCGCTCGCCACTTTCCGCAACAAGTACCTGACACAGGCAGCCACGTCATGTTATATCAGGAAATTGATTCAAGGATACAGCACCGTTTCCTTCACGCCAGATATGAACAGTATGGCGGACCAAGGTGTTCCCTTCAAGGAATTCATGGAGAATCCTGAAGACAGACATCATTTGTGAGGATTCAGCGAAGCATGGCAGCAACGAGAAACGTGATTTAGAGATACCCAGTATAGAACAATAGTGCGCGATACTCGATGTTCCAAGAACAGTGCAGTAAAACCTCGAAATCAAGTGCCAAAACTTAAAAGTAGGACGTCCTCATCTAACGTTTGTTGGAGCAAGGGCCTTTTGCTTTCCCCACTTTGTCTGCAGCTTCCGGGCACCCTGGATCGCTGTACTTGCATCCCTGTGGACAACATACCGAGCCGTGGGGGTCGGTCCACCAGTGATTCGATAAGCCACCAGCGGCCTTGCACGCCGCACCTCCGTTGGTAATCTGCATAGGAAGTTAGCATACAGTAGTGTAATTCTCAAGTGACTGCAGTCAACATTACCTTGCAAGCGTATTCCCCGTTTTTGCAAATCGGCTGTTGACCAACCCCACAGTGCACATTCCTGTCGGCCCAATCTTGCCTGCAAGGATGGGGCGCATCACGTGCGTGCTTTTGGAAGCTATCAGCTACCATCCGAAGGACAAGTAGAAATCGAGTTTGCATACCAGTCCACGAATTGCAAATTTGTTTCTATTTGGGAACGTGGTCTCCAAAGCTACGACCCGAAAGCCATCTAGATCCATGGCGGAGGCAAGACTCAGGAGAGCGGTGATTGCAAAGATTGTGGACTTCATGATTAGTAAGTGAAGACTGCTCTCATAAGTAAGAAGTGGGAGATAGGCGCCTGCAGTCCTTACTAGCAGACGAGACTATATATAATAAAATGCATGCCTGTCTTTGGGAAATTATCCAACGCGAAGGGACTCCTAAGTGCCCTGAGTTGAAGACTAATAGGCATGCTTTACATACAGCGTCTGATCACATCGGAGTGAAAGTGGGTATTCCCCAAACCCTTGCTCCTCGTGGATTATAGCGAATAGCAACTTGTTATTCAGCGGTCCGACCCTAGTCACTTTCACTCAGACGTGGTAAGACGCTGTAGATTCTGCTGCCGCACGAGTCCCTGACCAACCACCAACTCGCTACAGTATATCGGTAGATGGTGCAGTGCCCATTTACGTTCATTGGACTAGGGTTGCGGAAATTCCATCACTCTGGGTCGGTAGAGTAGCGACGTTTTTGTTACTAAAAATATATGATTCCAGGGCACTTTGCAGGGTCGTATGGAAAGGCTCAAGGTGCACTGGAGTCTGGACGGGAGTTATTAGTTCTATCTCGATTCTCGAACGAACTTACATGTGCTTTAGGGGTTGATGCACTTGCACCTCCGACGTCACCATTGCAGACCGAGATCCCACTCTCTTGGAAAATCCAATGGCTGTTCCTTCACATAATCACATTATGGATCTCTTCAGCGCGTCGTCGGCGGCGGCGTTGACAGCTCTCACACGTGACACGTCCAATGTATTGAGGCAGTGCTCGTGCCGATCGTCTCCAGGCGACGACTTTTTGGCAGCTGGATGCGGGTCATAGTACACCGCCGACCTTTCTACATATTCCAGTCCAGTACCCACAACGTCACGATTAAGAGACATAACTCCTGCGCCAAGCCAGCCTGATGGTATTATGGTATACAGAGGCAAGGTGCAACTTCCCGTGGACCGAGTTTTGTCCAGCACTGACCCGGCTCTAGCCTTCAGCGGGTTGTGAGAACTGCCGCAGGGCCAAGAAGCGATGCGGCCTGGAACAGCCATCTTGTGCTCGATGCGTGAAACTCAAGAAAACGTGCAGCGGATACCGCGATGTCAATCAGCTGCAGATCCAGGATGAGAGCGCTGCGATGCGACTGAAAGCGGAACGTCAGAAAGCTCGAGCAGCAAAGACGGAAAATACTCTTGCCACTCCGGCCGCGACGACACGACCGCACTCGCCGAAGAGCGAGACATCTTCCTCGAGCGATGAGGCCATCGACATACCGATGCGTCCAAAGAATGCGCAGTTGATCACGCCGCATGATTTCACCCAAAATAACCCCGAGCAACACTCTGAGCAAAAGCCTCAGCACGGCCTTAGCATACCCCTAACCTTAAAACATAATGCAGATGAGGTTGGAGTGACCTACTTCTTCAAACAGTTCACTGCCGACAATGGACACTGGACTTTCCTTCGGCGGTACGAGACGCGTTCCGCGCTGGATCCAGTGCTAGACCTGGCGATCAAGGCCTGCGGCATCGCAGCCTTAGACAATGTGCAACCACTATTCATGGGACGAGAGTACTCGCGGTCCATCTACGCCCAAGCGTTGCGTCTTCTCCATGGCGCATTGCGAGATCCGAAGCGATGCAGATCAGATGAGAGTCTGATGGCCGTCTTAATGCTGGGCTATTTCGAGAATTTAACCTGCGATGGCCGAGAATCAATACAATCGTGGAAAGCTCATATCCGAGGAGCAATGCAATTGCTGCAGCTACGAGGGAAGAACCAATTCAAGTCTGTCGTCGGCCAGCTGCTTTTCCGAGAGATTCGTGCTCAAATCTTAATCTACACGATATGGGACGATCTCGACCCTCCATCCTTCTTGCGAGACTGGAATCAAGACTTGCAATTCCACTCTGCCAGTATTGAGGTCATTAGTCCTGCAGATGAGCTGTCGCTGATATGATTTGACTTTTCGAGACTGCGGTACCGAATGCGAATGCAGACCATTACGGACGAGGATGCATATAGCACCATCAATCATATCGAGATGAGAATGGTCCAGTGGTCGATTGACTCGATGAACACTCATCAGGCATGGAAATACCGAGACCTAGAGGTCCAAGATAGCCCTCACGTATGGAACGGCATGGTGCACGCATACGAGGGACACCCAGCAGCAAGCGTATGGGAGACCTATCGCAGCGTCAGGATCATGGTCACCCGCACTCAAGAGCTACTTCTTCGACGTTTTGGTGTGCCAAGCGAACAAGAAGAAGCACAGGTATCATATTTCAAAAGTGTCAGACGGCAAATGACAGACGACATTTGCGCCGCGATACCGTCCCAACTCGGACACGCACCAGGTTACAACTCGCCTTGTATCCTCATCACAGCCTACGGTTCAATCTGGCCCCTTTTCTTCGCCGGCACATGCGCTCTCGAACGCATAGGCCCTCAAATCTGGACCTCCTTATCCGACAAGAACAGCACTTACAGCATGTCAACCGCTACGTCCTCAGCTCTAGCCCAAGCCCTCTGGATTATCGGACGCCTAGAATACGTATCCAAAGAGGTCGGTCTACGCTGGGCAGACGGTATAGCAGCGACATTGAAGGGCGATTTCGAGATCGCTGGAGACGAAGATCTGCTCCCAGTTTATATCGAGGCCGATAGTAGGTATATCAAGATGTTTTGGAAACAGAAAATGACAGATATGAGGAATAACGAATTGTCGAATTGGGTGGAGAAGGTCAAGAATTCTGGGAGGGGGCCTACGGTTTTGATGGAGAGGGCGAGTCCGCTTAGTGATGCGCTTGCGCAGCCTAGAGAGCGACATGGACCTATTTGGGTGGGTGGTGGACGGATGGCGAATTCTTCGATGGAGCCTCGGTGGTGACCTCTGAGGCGAGCAGAAGGAGTTGGACATGGGTTGGTTGCATGCTTGGGGAGCGTGTATGGCTTTAGTCTTTTGGTGCACATTACGACAGCGTGGAGTATGGTGTAGCTGTCACTTTTGTTCTTCTCAATCTATGTCATATAGTACAGCCGAATGGCGGTACGATGGCTTTCTCTCTTTCTTTCTAGATGTTGGTGTAGCGCAAGTATGGCTTCACCTAAGGCAATTCTCGAGATGCAGCGCTGGGTGTGCAGTGCATACGTGGCTGCTTAGCAGGTAGAGCCCAGAGAGTCTAGTTGTGCGCAGAGCAGAGCAGAGCAGAGCAGTACGAGTGAATGTGGCGGCCATTGTGACATCTTTTCTTTGAGCTGTAAGCACTGTACTTCCAAGGAGATGTCTGCACGCCTCAGGCATGGGGACAGTCTTGGCAGAAGACAGCTGCTGTTCTCGTCGCTGGAACTCCTTGTCCAACTTCACCAGAAGCGATGCATACGGCACGCAAGGGACCTCAGCTTCGCCTCTCATCTATCACTTTTCCGAATCACATGCTGCCGTCCTACCGTCTAGCTTCTCCTCACGACGCCGACGTATGACCTCGTGCATTACCAGACTTGGGATCGGCCGGATAAGACTGCACAACGGCTTCTCATGGCTTACCGCATCCCGCCCTACCGGCTGCCGTTGCTGAAGGAATGCCGTCTTGGGCCATGCTTGCGAAAATAATTCACATGCAACAACGAACGTCCCGACACCTTCCTTGCTGCTGGGGTGGCCTCGTTGCAGCAGGAACGAGCGGCACGGCACATACGCACGCCATCTGTGCCTCGGAACTCTCTGCACTCGAACCTGATGCGGAAGCTGATGCGCTTCGTGTGCCTGACTACATCCTCCACAATAATGCTTTGCGATGACGATGTGCTGGCAGGCCCAACTGTCGCAAGCCACTGAGCTAGGCTCGCCTTGGCAAAAGCGTGTGTGCACGTACTATATGCGTCTGCACTCTGCGCAAGCATAGCATTCTCGTCATGCTACCTCGCTGCTGATCTCCCCGAAAGTGGTATGTCGAAGTGCATGCACTACCCGAGCTTGCTATTGTTAAAGTCTGAGCTATTGTCCGGCAGGCTCAGACATTCCACGTGAGATTTCCTCGGCGTCCGTTGCATTGATATATTGGCATCTATTCCTATGTTTTGCACTCGCTGTCTGGTACAAAATCGATCTCGCGGAACTCAGCAATTCAAAAGCAATCTTCATCTTGCTGACGGCTCGACTGGCAAGCGCAGTCACTGATTGACGCAACACTGTGATAAAAGTATTCTTACCAAACAGCATTCAGAGTAGCTCATCGACCATCATTCGGAGAAGCCCCACGGGAATCATCAAGACAGCGATTGGAGAGCGAAATCATGCCTAGTCTCACGTTCTGGGCGGCTTGCGCAGCAGCACTCGACCTGACTGCGGGAACTCCTCTCAAGAGACATCAATTCAAAAATCAAGATACAACAGGATGCGGCATGACCCATAACGAAGGGTTCAACAATGGAACGGCAGACCATAGCATCAAGTCCGGCGGCTACACCAGAACTTACGCAGTGAATGTACCTGACGGTTACAACAACAATACCGAGAAGAAGTGGCCGCTGATCATCGATTATCATGGCAAGTGAGCCTCCTGATGAGATCAAATCACAAGCTGGCTGGCTAACATAACCCAACAAACAGGCAATGGTGGGACGCCCTATCAGCAGTACGACAACTCGCAGTACTACAAATACCCTGCAGGTCAAGAGTATTTGGTGGTCTATCCCCAAGGCTATAATGGATCCTGGCAGGGTCCTTCGTACGCGGTCAAAGGTGTCGACGATCTACAGTTCACAACAGACCTCCTCGCCAAGATGCGAACAAAGTACTGCATCGACGACAACCGCGTCTACGCCTCGGGAAAGTCTAATGGTGGCGGTTTTGTAGACACTCTTGCGTGTTCCGACAACGGAGATGAATTCGCCGCATTCGCGATGGCATCTGCGGCGCTCTACACAGACACCAGCGAAGGCAGCTGTACGAAGAAGCGAGCAATTCTAGAGAGCCATGGCGACGAAGACTCCACGATTCATTACCATCCAACCAAAGACGGCTCAGGCGGTCCATTACCCGATATCTCCAAATGGGTGTCGTGGTGGGGACAACGAACTTGCGGATCCGGCACTGCGCCAGTCAACTCTGGAGACTTGGGAGGCTATAATACGACGTGCTACTCCTGCGGCGACTATTCTGATGTCATCTCCCACTACCAGATCTTCGAATTGGGACATTGCTGGCCAAGTTCCACGAGCAGTAATTGGGATGCGAGTGATCATTACAACCAGACAACGAGGAAGTGCTTGGACAAAGCCCTGGACTACACTCCAGTTGTGCTAGATTTCTTTGGAAAGTGGAATTTGGATAATGCACCATAGACGCTGGGTCGACAGCAACATTGACACCGTACTTCACAAAGAAAGAAAGAAAGAAAGAAAAAATGCTAAGCAAGAGCAGCTCCATTGTCCTCTACAGCATCCTATTTTTTTTCTTGTACGAACATGCCTCATACTTGAAGTAAAACTCATCCTACCAAGCAAGCTAATCCTCCCACAGCACCAAACATCTGCACTCAATACTATGCCTTGGAAGCCCATAATCCCCCTCCCAACTAAACGCCGTATGCGGCGCACGTCTCGCCAACCCGTCTTCCATCTTCGAATCAAAAATCTTTAACAAAAATGCCTCGTGCGGCTTCATCTCCGAAACATACCACCACTTGTGCTCGTCCGGACCAGAAGGCGCTTCCACAGCCCAAGCCTCCACCGGAGCTTTCGGAGCGTAGGCGTCCTGCCACGATCCACCATCCCTTCGAGATGTTTCGGGAAAATAGATCGTTTGTTCATGCAAATGTTCTTCGGGGACACTTCTCGCATCACAGACGGCCAGAGCGTCGCGCGTGGCGGGGGTGATGGATTGGTCGCCAGACGTTGAGGATTGCGAAGCGTGGGAGTTTTTGGAGGGTTTCGGGTGGGTTGTTGTATTTGGGCATGGCTCCGGTGATGCGGGTGTAGGCTGCTTGGTAGGATTGGTCGATGTGGACGAAACCTGCGGAGCCGGGGGCGGGAGTGCGGTCGGTGTCTTTGACAGATCTTGTTCCGTGTTGAGGATGTGGGTTTGGGATTGACGGCGGACGACGTGGGCGAATGGGGATGACTTTTGAGGCGCCCGTGCTGGTGGGAGGGGGGGGAGGGTTGTTTTGTTTTAGAAAGTGAGATGATAAATTTGCAGAGAGGGAGAGGGAGGGAATTTACTGTTTCTTGAGGAGTTCTGCACATTCGGGATAGTAGATTTCTTTGATCTGGTCTTCGGTGTCGAATTCTTGTTCGGAACTTTCGTGTTCGACGACTTGGAAACCTTGCTTGTCTAATGTGATGCTCTCTTTGCTAGTAGAACGAATGTCGCGGAAGCTAGATGAAGTCTGCGTTTCCACTTGTCGATCAGTGGGATTTTTTTGAGCTACCTGGCAAAGAAACGTATTATTGGTGTACACCTCGCTGATCATGGAGGCATGCGGTTTGACATGTCCAGCTTGTCGCGGCTTCCACCTTGTGCGGAAGAATACTACTTCTTTCGCAAGGCTGGGATCATTCATTCTCAAGCAGTCTCGTCGAGTGATGAGTCTCGGGAAGCCGTACTCTGTTTCTCCAATTTAGGCCAAGGCTGAGCACCGAGCTCATGAGACTGGATGAAGGTCATTCTGGCGGCAAGTCGATGCCACACTAGAGGTTACATCGGTATGCTTCAGCCGTCAGCGGCATACCACGTGCTGCCTCCAGTAACCCACTCTTCGTCGTCTGTGCTGCAGATGAGAATGAAATTGGAGTATGGGCGAGCCGTCAGGGTCGGCTGATGACCTCTTTGCGTCAGCACACCCATTAATGGTCGTGTCGCCTAGATTGATGCGCTTCATTCTTCGTTGGCGCAGCACAAGACGGCATCGCCAGAGTAAGAGAGATTCGTGAAAGGGACGATTCATCTCCGGGAAGTCGACACCAGACTTTCACTTGCCAGCAAGTTGTACTTCGAAAGCTAATGCCTTGCCGACAAGATTGATGGTGTTATTGGCGGTGAGAAAGTTCGAAGGAAGGGCATAGATCTCGGTGGCTTCCCGTAGCTCTCCGAGGATCACCAGCGCCAACAAGGAGTCCATTCCCATATCCTCCAGATCTTTGTCTTGATCAACTTGGTGCTCGGCCAACTCAATCTCCCGAACGACAATGCTTCGCATAAGTGCTGTATATTTCGCGACCATTTCATCTGGCACAGCCGGCGGTGAAGCATGCCTCGTTGGTGCCAATGATGTGGCCTCGGTGTCTGAAAGGTCCATGCTATCATCAGAATCGGAGTCGTTCCAGATTTGGCTCAGAGGAGTTACAGCACTGCTGTCCATGGCAGTGAAGTATCTCTTCAGTTCTCCTATGGTGGGATACTCGGTGAACAGATCTGAACTGATGTTGTACAATTCAAGTTCCTCTCGCATTTGACCTAAGATGTCGAAGGCTGAGTACAGATCAATGCCTAGATCTTCCTCCAACCGGTAATTGTCGAGCAAGGTGGGTTTTGCCAGGCCGGTCTCGCGCGCGAGTAGATTCAGGACTCTATCGGCAGTGCTGCTTTTGCCAGGCAGGGAGAGATTGCTGCAGCTGTAGTTGGCATGCTGCATGACGATGTCGGTGTTTCCATGGTCGGGAAGGATTCTTGGAGTCTGGCCGCCTGGTTTCGCAGGTCTGGGTGCTGGCTCCTGTACCTGCTCGTCATCCTCGGAGTCGAAGCCAAGTGCATCCTCGCCCCACGACATTGGCTCATCATCGGCGGCGGCCATGCTCATCGTCGCCAGTCGAGAGAAGCTGCTTTCCAGAAGCGCTGGCAATGAATGATGGAGAATTGTATGCGACAAATGCGTGTGTCTTTCTCCTGAGAACCATTTCGTTGCGGCTGAAGGATCTGGAGCTGACGATGCCATTAATAGAACGGGCAGAACGATGGAGATCTTGAGTGGCACACTGCTGACCCTCAGCCAGCCAGCGCAGTGAAGCTACCAAGCGCCCTCCATTCACTGTGATGGCAGGACATGGGATAGATTTTAATAATGGACTGGAGTTTCGAGAAGGGGAGCATAGGGGGACGAGAGGACGCATTGTCCATGTTTGCCAAGACTTCACGCGTCACGTTACTCACGTAGAATATTCTCAAGTGCACAGTCCAAATCTCGCACACGTACTGTATGTGCTCGACCGTCCTCGGCGTTTGTTCGACCACAAAGCCCTCATCCATCGCACCCCGATGCTTTACGACCAGCAATCCATCCTGCACCGTTGTCCGGTCTTGCGTCGCTAGAAAGAGCTGTGTCGCACGAGGGAGAGCAGTCTACCGACGCATGAGAATGCGTCTGGCACTCAACAGTCGTCGCTTTGGCGTCACGACATTGTACATGCGGGCGGCATGGGACAAGCATGGATGATGGCGACGCGTGCTATTCTATGCATGCCAACACTGGGGCGAAGTTCTGACAAGGAGCAATCTTCGGCGGGGATTCAGCAAAGCAAGGCTACCGATATCCAGTACCCATCACCTCCTCATCAAATTGTTCAGCTTGCGTATCTCGGTCCATCGCGACATAGCACCTAGCTCCAGAAGATTTACACGTCTGAGCTTTCCCGAAGGATTTCCAATGACAACAGCTTTCCATTCTGGATCGCCAAAGCTGGGGTCCCAATCTTGAGGGCCTCTCAGAGTGCCCACGGTGTAGCTCGGAATGACTTGAATCTCTTTCCACCGCCACAAGATGATGAGGAGGAGAATCGTCACGGCCAGTAAGATCGCAGCAAAGATGGTGATGGCCGTCTGTGCGCCATATCTGTTCGTGACCCTGCCTGCAACCACAGTGGCACCGGCTGCGAAGAAGAACCCGAGAGACTGTGAGGCGAACTAACCAGCGCAGACTCGTGGAAAGGACGAGTAGTTAGTCCTTCGCATCCTTGTGCTCGTCGACATCGATTGTACGCGATGTCGAGTATTGACTCCAGGCTGCAGGTCGCAAGTGTCGAACGTCTCCATGATCAGTCCAACGCACTCGGCAATGCCGAGATCCGTGAGAAAGCCGCAGAAGCCAGCCATGATGACTGCAGCACTCCAGTGAAGTGAACGTCCACGAGCAGCCATGCAATACCCTAGTCCGGCAAATGGCAGCAGCAGCGAGAATACGAGACGTCGCAACATGTGCGAGCTCCAAGTGACTCGCTTCTGGATGGTCATGCTGTCTGTCCGTGCTGGTACCACGCGAGACCTGCTGAGCCAAGAAGCCTTTGCGAGAGGCATTGCCAAGCCAGCTCCGACAGGGACAGCGAGAGCAGCCAGTCCGACCGAGTACGACGGCCATTTGTAATCACGGGACAGCAGTGCTCCAAGAAGCTGGTAATGTTAGCAGATGATGCTTGCACTTGATTCGTTCACTCACCAAGATAATTAACGTCAGTTGAGCTTGCATCCATGCCAGGTACAAGGTCATCACGAAGAAACCTGCTTGGAGAACCATACGCTTGACGAGAACCATACCGGCCCACACTTCCTCATACCACCACTTCGGACCCTCATCGAAGACGTGAAGTTTGACTTCACCTCTCGCGACACGGTGCTTGATCTTTTCCTGTTCATCAAAGAAGTGATGGAAAGATCTCCGATGCGGCGATCTTCGAGTTTCTGGCGAGATGACGTTCACCAGCAGGAAGAATGCGAGAAGCATGATGGTGATCCAGAACCCCCAACTTGGATCCAGACCTGAAATGACCGAAGCACCAAGACAGAAACCGATGGAAAGAGAGCTGCTGAAACAAAAGGTCCAAATGCCGAGCCACACTCCAATGCCGCCGCCATGACGTCGCACGTCGTCGTACGCGACGAGCTCTTGATGTGGTCGATCTGACATGAGAGACGCTCCCTATATGTCCCATAGAGTTGGCAGGAAATTGACGTTGGCGAAACCGAGAGCAAGTCCAGTCAAAGCTCGAGGCAGGAGCAAGCCGATGCGGTATAACATGCCTGGACTCCGAGGACTGCCGACTACCATCGCTTGCGGCAGCTGCAAAGGCAGCATCAAGGCGAAAGCGACGAGAATGTAAGGCCGACGGCCGTGGAGGAGAGGAAGCGGCCAGAATATCAGTGTGGTAAGGCCCAGTCCTGCGAAGAGCCTTTGCACGAATCAGAAATGCCAAGGCCCTTGATAATAGATGACTCACAGCATATTGCCAAAGATGACCCAATGCGATTCATCTGCGAGCTGGTACTGGATACGAGGGACTTCGCCTGCCTATGATGTATTAACGTGTATTCCAAAGCCACTCCAGAAGGATGCCCCTTACATAGATACCAGCTATGAGGCCAACAAAGATTGTGTTGAGGCAAGCGATCCAAGATGCGAGCCTCTTGCGACCAAGTTTCCAATCGCGAGCGATGGGCTGCCGTTTGTGGTACTTCCCAAGATGGAAGCCGTCCCCATCCTTCACGGAGATGTGATTTGTGCGCGGATGTCTCAAGCTGATGCACTTGCTATGAGAGCCATGTCAGCAGAGTCACGACAGGATTGTCTTCGTGTTGGTACCTCGCGTCGGAGTCTGTCCGGGCGAGGCCGTTGTTGTCTTGGTTGCGAGGCAATTCCAGTAGCTTCGAGTATTGCCGGTGGTGTCCAAATGGTCGGCCGTGCTCAATATGTTGGTGTACTTTATAAGACCTGACACCAGATCCAGGGTCGAAGGAGCGCAATGCTCCGGTGTCGATTGCTTTCTTTCTTCGCAGACGTCTATCTGGTCTTCTACTTCCAGCGCTAGAACCACTGATCCCGTTGTGTTTGCCTAGCCGGAGGCCATGCGAATGATGCACTCGCTCGTGCTTGTCTCGCAGAGAACATCGGCGTCTGTGCGCGCTGGGTGGCAGAGCTGGCAAGTTTTTCTGTGAATAAGCTATACTGTGGCGGACACCAGGTTGCGTCGCTACGGATTGTCCGTGATCATGATAAAAGCTTGCAGCGGCGCCGTACGGGTTTGGCACCCGGGACCGCTGAGACCTTTTCTTACCCGGCTTTTGAGGTGTGTATGCAAAGTCTTTCACGATGGACTCCACAGATGATGGCTGGTACAGCTGAGGCGGAGTGGGGGACATCGAGTCATCGGAGGGAGGACCTCGTCGAGACTCTGGGCTTGACAATCGCAGAGGATCGGTAGCAATAGCCGCCTGTGGTATGCTGACAGCTCGGGCAGCATGGTTTATTACGGTTGCTAAAGCCTCTGTCCTTCCTGGCGATGGCCCGATGCTGTTATTTCGCACTCGCAGGTCGCTGCTTCGAGAAGACGAGCTTGTGGAAGGTAGCAAATGTGGTGGCAAGGAATGTAATGTGTGCTTCTTGGCCGGGCGAGGCTGCGAAGAATGCTGCACATCATCTTTCCTGGCAAGAGACAGAACGCCCTCGAAGAGCGCAGTCTCGCATGACTTGCACCCGTGTGTTTTATTCGAATCGATAGTGGAGATGGTCTGGTGTCGGTAAGGATTGATATTGGGCTTCAAGGTCCTTGTGCCTCTTGGTCTCGTCTCAGCTTTAGTAGCTGTGTTGTCGGACTCATTGGACAAGACACCAGGGCCATCCTGCTGCGACTTCCTGGCGATTTGGGGACCATAGTCCTGGTGAGCTTGAGATCTGGCGACGTCGGCAACGAGTCGCTCGTACGATGCCGGATCTCTCTGGGGACGAGGAATCGGCATTGGCCCACTGTCGCTTGGCGTGGTCGTGCTATACTCCGAGGAGGCATAGGAGAACATCGGCGAATCGGAGTCGGACATGTGCTGCTTTCTCTTTCCCAATGCAATCTCTCGGACTCCTGGCGGCCTTTGTGATGTTTGAGAGTGTGACTTCGGCTGCGGCCTGACAATTTTGCTGTTGACCAGCGTAGGCTCTGACCCAATTGGACGGATCGATGGATCGTCGCTTAAAGACCTGCATGAAAAGGTTCTCTCCACGTGGATGTCGTTCATAGTGTCAGGCTCAGGCACTCGCTGGAGCAAACGAGGCTCGCTGCCAAGGCTTTCCTTCCCAGGCATCGCGTTTGCCGACCGCGCCTCCAGCCATGGCAATTTTTTGCGCGCTTTCACGGTAGAATGACCTGTATCTGTAACGGTGCCGTGCGTGGGATGATTGGGTTCTGTCCTTTTCGTCGCAATCCCATCTACGCCTCGGTCTTTTGACCTTAGGATGGTACCGCTGTTCTTGTTGAATTCCGTGCCGTTTGTCGCTATTCGCTGGGACGCATCGACCCTCGAAGGGTGCATCGTAGAAGACTTTTCAAACAGGGTGTTCAGGAATATGGTCGCAGCTACTGGGCAGTAGAGAGGTGTATATATGCAGGACGCCAGGTCGGGTGAGAGTACGAATGTCAGGTGAGTCGGTAGAGAAACGCCGGGCGTCGAATCGGTAGGTGCTGGATTGTCGAGGTTGCGAAGGCTACGCTAGAAAGTCATGAAGAGAGATGGCGAAAATATATGCAGTTACATACTTATCTGACTTGACTGCTTGCTTGTCTTGATTGCATCAAAGTGCACTTGCCGCGAGGGTGAGTGACAACTTCCCTCATTCCACGCAGAGCACCTCAGCATGCTTTCGCCTTACTCGTCCAACCTAACTTTTCCAGCGCTGACATCCGGGTAAACGTCGAATCGACGTTGTGTGTAGATGGGTATGCCTTTGCGTGACTCCTCAATCGCATTGCCATCGAGATCGGCGTAGACGATGTCCTCATTCTCGTCCAGCTCGGATTGGATGGATGCATTCGGGTTCACCACCATTGAATGACCCCAAGCATTGTAGTCGGCACTCATATCGCGAGCAGGACTGCAGACGCCAACATAGATCTGGTTGTCCATTGCGCGAGCGCGTGCTTGCAGCTCCCAGTGCATAGCGCCTGTGGTCAAATTGAACGCTCCGGGATATAACAAGAGGAAGCAGTCTTTTCGTGCGGCTATCATGGCAAGCTCAGGGAAGCGAATATCATAGCATATAGCGACCGCGATCTTGCCATATTCTGGCAGATGGATGATTGTGACCTTATTTCCGGGCGACAAGACGTCGCTTTCGCGGAATGTGATCTTGCCCGGGATATCAATGTCAAAGAGATGCACTTTGCGATGAGTGCCAATCAGATTGCCACTCGGATCGAACGTCAAGGACGTGTTATAGTACTTCTTGGTCTCCTCCCAGTATTCGGGGATGGAACCACCGACAAGATATGCTTTTGCTTCTTTGGCAAGCTCAGAGAGAGCATGGAAGGACGGCGATTGCTCTTGGGATGGCGGCGAGGGTAGAAGGGTCTCGGCGTATTTCGGGAAGTACTTGGTGCCGTACGGTGAGTTGAAGCATTCGGGGAGAACGACTAGATTGGCACCTTTCGATGCAGCCTCCAGCACTTTCGATCTCGCTCGCGCCAGGTTGGCCGACTTATCAGCACCAGTCGCTAGCTGGACCAATGCTAGCTTGAGTGGCTTCTTGAGAAGCTGCTTCGCCATATCGTCGTTGTCCTGGCCTGGCCTGGCAATTTTGAGTGCGAGAGTCAAAGCGCAATGCTTGTCATCCAAACATTCAACTTGAAGCTCAAGCTCAGCAACGCCAAGACAGACATGTCGCCGGCGCCGGCGGGATCCCGATAGAATAGGCGAACACGCTATCCGGGGTTGCGTCAGCCCACTTCACCCCTCGCCTGCGCTCGGGGATTTAAACTATACGTAAAATCGCACTTTCTTAGTAGGCTACACGTAAAACTCGACGACAGCAATGTTATAGAGTATATATAATAGGAGACTAAACATAAGTAGAATAAGAGATAAGAAACAGTAGATTTCCGGCACATTAGTAACTAAATTGCGACCGTAGGACCTCAATCCGGCCTCTTAGCAAACCTCGAGTCTACTATATAATCGATTACTTTATATGTCGGCCTATATATCTATTATATAACTGCTATCTCTTCTTATTAAGTAAATAACTAACTACTATAACTACTATCTACCTCTTCTAGCTTAATAGGGTTGTTCTTGCTGCTAGCGACCGCGCCTTTATAACGGCTAGATTTCTTCGGAACGTTATAGAAATAGCGCTTGCTTTATACAGACTCGTAGCGGCGACGAGGAGGTACTAGATAGGGCTAGATTATAGTATAGACGGTATCTTTATCGAGTAGCGCCTTATCTTATTGTAGCTAGTCTAGTCGAGTGTTAGGTTCTTACGCGAATAGGCTATTTAACTGTCGCCTCGGCTTAACGGTCTATACTGCAATATCGCCTTCGTTATAGTCGCAGGTACGACTCGGTAATAGTAGTGTTCTCGATAGACTCTAGCTATAGGTAACCGTACCGCTATTAGAAGTATCGGTGCGGCGCCTATAGTCGCTAAGAATAGTCGTATATAGATCGCCGGTCTTCTTTAGTATATTATTGTTACTGCTATTGTTGCTATTAGCAGTAAGAAGCGCTAGGTTAAAGACACGCTGTAGCGGCTTGTCGATAGACTAAAGGTTAACGTCTATCTACTTAGTCTTGCTATTATTATTAAATACAATATAGAAGGCCTCGCTATACTTAAGCCGATACAATCGTGCCTTATCGATAGCATTCTACACCTCTTAGAGTATCTTCTAGCGGTCGCTGTTAGCTAGGTCTTTATCTTATTACGTAACTTATAAGCGTAGTTTATTCGCCTCGATAGTACCTACCCTTATAAGCCGATTAGGCTGCTCCTTCTATCGCTTCTTTACGCGCTTAACGATGCTTGTAGACTAGTATTTACGCTTATATTCTTTACCCTTGTAGATAGCCGCATCTACTAACAATTAATAGGCTAATTCTATATCCTTCGTAGGCGAGGAGGAAAACGGGTTAAATATATAGTCGATACCGGGGGGGGTTGGCTTTAGATAGGAGCGTCTAAAGTCCTTACGGACTTATATAGCCTTGCGAGACGCCTTAATCGCGCGAGGGCTAGTCGTAGTATTAAGAAGCCATTCCGGCAATTCGGGCGTAGGTATACGGATTAGTAAAGGCGGCGACGATAGCAAACCTTAAGCAATCGTATTCTCGAGGTCCCCTAAGTAATAGCGATTGTTAGCGCGATACTAGCCTTCTAGGTCGACGATAGTAGGCTTAGTAGAACGTCTTTACTTAACCGACGCGAGGTGTTCCTATTAAGCGGCCTCTGCTATTACTAGGGATTCTTCGTATTAGGTCTCTTTCTAGCGCAATTCGTCCTCGATTGATTACTAGTTCCAATTATAGTCTGTTGCACTATACTAATCTCGAATATATCGATAAGGGACCTCTCTATTAGTTAGGAATATGCTAGTCTTGCGGAATGCCGCCCTTATATTAAACCTAGTAAATGTCTTGCCTCGAATAGATGCTAGCGCCTCTATAAACTCAGGTATTCCAAATTTACTAATACTACGGTATATAGCTTCTAATACCGCCTATCTATGCCTTAGTTTATACACTTAGAATAAGACAACGTCTAAAGGCTATATAAAGTGTAAAGTGTGTAGTTGTAGGCCCTACAGTTAGATCTTATAGCGCTTTATAAAGGCAGCAAATTCCTAGAAGCAGTAGGAGCCGTAATTGTCGCATAATAACACCCTCTATTCGTTTAGGTCCTTAGGTCTCGTCTTCCGTTTAAACTAGCGAATGTAGTATATAGCAGTGTCGTCTGTTATATAACCGGACTCGTTAATAGTAATTAAGAAGTTGTCTTTGCCTAACAACGAGGTTAGCAACTAACGTTAGTTTAGACTCGGTCTCAGAAATGCTAGTAGTATACGTAACTTACCCTCCTTCGGCACCTATCGTTCTTAGACTATAATACCTTTAATAACTAACTAATAGTTAATTACCTCGCCGTATGCGCTAATAGTCTTAACGACAGTAATATGCGTACGGTTACTATTATACTCGGTCTATACGCGCCGCCTTATGTCTATTATAACGACATACTCGTTGCTACTAATTCCAACTCGAAAGCTAGTTTCGTCGAAGTTCTATAGGTTCTACGCCTTTACCTTTAGTCGTAATAATATCGCCTCGAAGCGGTTAAACTAGGCTCTTATCGTAGAAGGGTTATACGCTTCCTTCCGCTATACCTCGATAGGCTTAGACTTAACCTTGCTAAGTTTATAGCGCCTAAGAAACCGGTCCGCCTAGTCTATACTAAATAGTGTAATTGTATCTCTCGATATACCTTCCGGTAATACGCTCGCTAGTATGTCTATCGCTACAACCGCGATTAACGCTACTAGCAAGAATATCCCTATTCGGTCTCTTTCTCGATAATAATCCGCTAGCGCTAATTCCTAGGACTAGTCTAGCTTAGTATTAGTTACAAGGCGCGACATTAGCGATCTACGGCCTCTTAAGCGCTAGTAAACACGGCTGTATAGGTAGCTTGCCTTCTTAGCCTTATAGAGTGCGCGAATACTGACCTTCTTAGCCGATTTAGCCTCTATTACGCGGTACCTCGAAACGATACGATTTACTACCCTCTCCGCCCTCTCTATCTTAGTTAACCGCTTAGCGCGTACCCTCTTTACACTTTCGCCCTTTTTACGCCTTATACCGAGTTTTCTATACTCTTCGTATACTAGAGAGAAAGAACACGAGAAATACGCGCCTTAGAATGAGGTGGACGCGCCTGCTAAGGATTATATAAGAAAACAGCGGTAGTAAGGTCTATAGCTACTACACACTCGGATAAGGCTATATATATAATATTTGGACTCGCGGTTCCTTACTGCACCTACCTAGATATCCGAATGGGACTGGAATGTACGATTATATCGAGATTTACGTGTAGCCTACTAAGAAAGTGCGATTTTACGTATAGTTTGAATCCCCGCGACCGCGGGGTGAAGTGTGACTGACGAAACCCCGGATATATATTCTACCTCCTTGCTTGCGGCGGACTACCCTCCGACCACCAGCATAAGTCATGTCATGTCGACCTTTCGTCAATAATTTGGAACAATGTTTACTTGTGATCCACGGGCTATTTTGGCGGATGAGAAACATCATCTGGAAGACTCGCCGGGCACCACGGCTCCTCTCAACAGAAACCCGCACAAGCAGTATTGTGACACGATTGTCAACAAATCTCTTGCCCGACCGATTACATGTATTTGGCGTACAGCAATCGCCGAGCAATAGAATATCGATGACGTAGCAATTTGACCGTTTCCAAGCTCGCCACGCGCACAGCCATACGCGCAGTCGCGTCACGTCACGGCCGATACTCGTAGGCTTCACTTCACACGCCGTATATACTTGAGTCGTTCCCGAAGCGCGGGCAAGAGAAATTTCTCAACGAAGCACACCATAATCTTATCCACAGCATGGCAGAAAGCGGAGAGCAGCAGAGTAGCCTGAAGCAATTTCTTGCAGTAAGACAAGGCAAAGTCCTGCTGATCTAGTCCATGTGAACTAATGTCAAACAGTCAATTGCTACCATCCAGGGAGATTTAAGGTACACGATCATCGGAAACGTACGAGACTTACAGTACATCTCTGTCCTGACTACAAGTGTAGCAATATTACAGCACCGCCATTTGTGTTGGCAGACAAGTCTACAACCGAGTTCCCACGCTATTGGATAGAGCAACCCGAACTGTTCTGTGCGCCGGCCCACGAACAAGAGCCAGCGAAGAGAATATTGGCTGTGCTGAAGTGGTTCTTGTCAAGCCTCAAGAGCCAGCAGTATGCTGGTCGAGATCCTAGTGATGGGGTCAAGAAGCCCTTGAACGCCTTCCTGGGCGAAGTCTTCGTGGGTGAATGCGGCCCCGAAGATGACGCAACGCATCTCATTGCAGAACAAGTCAGCCATCACCCTCCGGTCACCGCCTGTTACCTGTGGAACGAGAAGCACGGCGTACGAGCAGAGGGATATACCCGACAGGTGAGTCGATTCAAGCCCGTCCATTTCTCCTTTCTCTTCCGAGCCGTGGAGTATTACCCGTGCTAGGGTAAGGCTGTGGTATGGATGTTCACCGAAGCTAGAAGTGAAGAAGATCAGCATTGTTGTATGGGGGGTGGACCGCCACCGACACGTGGGCCTAAGCTACACACTACATTCCGGCGTTGAGGAAAGCATTGGTGCCCGATGCTGTCTGATTGCTAGGATGGATTGCACTTTGGTGATGGTGGTATGTATGCTAATAACAGTGGGTTAGGAAATCACATTCAGTGGGTCCGTCAACATTCAGCAGATAGGCCATGCGATTCTACATCTCGATGAGTTTAACGAAGACTATCTGATTCCATTGCCAGACGTCAAGGTCAAGGGTATCGTCACTGGTGGGTACGCTATGGTCGTTGGATGGAAGCGCAAGCTAACGTTTGGCAGGATCTCCTTATCCAGAGCTGCAGGGGTCCCACAGTCTCATTTCCTCTTCTGGCTACATCGCTGAGGTCGACTTCAGCGGCAAAGGCATGCTTGGTCTCAGCGGAGAGAAGAACCACGTGAAAGCGTCAGTGTATGGCACAGGTGACAAGAAACACAAGGATGCGCTTTTCACCGCGGAAGGCAGTTGGTCGAGAGGCTTCGATATCCAAGATCGCTCTGGCCGAGTGATTGATAGCTATGATGTCGCTGCTGCCAAGGCGAGCGACTTTCGCGTCTTGCCAGAACAGGAACAAGACCCCTGGGAGTCCCGAAAGGCCTGGCGTAGGGTCATCGAATCAATCCACAAGGGAGATATGCACAGCGTGGCCAATCATAAGAGCGAGCTGGAGAATGCTCAGCGTGAGCTGAGAACGCGCCCCGAGACGGCCGAAGAGTCGTGGCAATGTCTCTTTTTCAGCAGAGAAAGCAGGCATCCGGTTGCCGAGAAACTCCTGTCGGAGGTGGATCAGAGGGTCGATTCGAAGAGCACGTGTGGCGTGTGGCGATTCAACGCAGAAGCCGCTGGCCGTGTGCAAAGGCCGTGGAGAGGCGATTTGACGCCGTTCGGCCCGCGAAGGGCAGCAAGCACAGAATGAAGTTGGGATAGAGGCTCGTGTGCGCGGGTGAAGCTTCAAGTGCTGCGCAAGGCTCAAGCGAACTACTTACGTCGAGGCACCGTAGATATGTAGCGTCAAACACCTTGTCGATAGTGCTGGGTATGTCCCCACCATATACCTCGAATCGAAGCGCGGGAAGCGGTGTGGCTGCTCTTCGGATGCGGTGTCGACGGCAATTATTATCTCTCGTTGCGGACGGTATGTGACGTCTCTTCCCTCCCCTTTTTCTTTCTCGTCTGTGTAAGATGGACATGGTCTGGTGTCGTGACTTGTTGCATTCAAGGTTCAACCCATGCAGCCCTATGCTATCCTGGTCAAGCTTCTGGGATCCTGCCAGCGCACGTGGTGTAACGAGGCGAGGAGATTTCCCCTTCAAGATAGATCAATCGTCCTCCGCTTCATCATCATCACCATCACCCGCCTCTCCCCACCGAGTCGGCCGGTACAGGTGCGACTCCAGCGCTCCCCATGCAAACCATGCGAACCGCGGGGATAGCGCAGTATGGGGAAACACTTTCGCTGAGAGGTCTGATTGAACGCCATCTAATGATCTTTGGTATGTATGAAGCAATACCACCGCCAGATATAGGCTCACTTGGCTTCCAGACTTGTCCCCCTCCCGGTCCGCCAAGCTTTCGCGTTTGATCTTGACAATTGCTGTGCCCGTCGACTAGAATATGTTACACGACTGCGGATTCAGAAGCCGGGAGCGAGACCCAGGCGCATTGTGGCCGCCTGGTTCGCATCATCTGCTTCTGACAGGTTTTGATTGTGACGCAAAGCGGCTTCCTACAGCTGCCCGCGGCCTCAACCCGCTCGGTTTCAACACGTAGCATTCCACCGTGCCTTTCCTTCGCTTCTCATGCGCCACGTTACTCGGTGTGGAATTCCCCATCGATGCGAGCACGGCTGGGCACATTGCACCCCTTTCGAGACCATCCCCGAGCCCGGAGACTGGCCATGTCGACGTCATTTCATGTTGAGCACATGAACCTGTGCAAGACATAGCATCACCGTTGAAAGGCATCACAACAACTGGCATTTGCAATTGCAGCACACTACTGGGCTTGGCCGAATATATACCGTTCGGGGCGCATATGAAAGATTGTATCAAGGCTGTCGGGTCCACTTCTGGCCCGGGGTGCCTGCTCACATGCCGCTGACTGGTGCATCTACTGCACCGTCTGCCACAGTCCGGCCCGTAAGCCACCATCTTCACTCATCCCCGTAGGCGCCTGCCTGCATTGCGTTAAGGCCATACGGCTGCCTGCCTGAAGTGGAACTCATATCCTCCATCAGTCGAAATGCACCTTGCAGTGGACACTCATGTAGATCTGAAAGATGAGTCTAATGAATCAGGACTTCGCTTGTGACAAGCAGCAGCATGATACACAAGGAGAACTTGGCGCCGCGAGGCACACACGACGCGAACACTGACAGAAGAAACATCGTGGGCAAATGCCTAGCGATCTGTCATGCTCCAGTTGTGTTCTTATAGTTGCAATGGCCCACCAGCCGACATCGTCACCCCTGATACAGCGACCAGTTTGTTGAATTGCCTATCGTTCGACGCTCTTCAATCACTCGAGTCACTACACGCCTTGACCTGGTTCTCCCACGGTGGGTCTTCGGTCTGCTACCGAGGTGACTAGGTCCGGAGCACGTTGTCTTCGATCGATTGATTGATTGATTGTCCTTCGTTTCTTACGGGCAATTGCCGACTCTCTTTCATACTCTTTTGATCTGGAGCCGTTCTCACCCACGCGGCTTTCTCCCCAGTCCTTCCTTTGGTACGTTTTGACCACATTCGTTGATACGATGGCGACGTTCTTCAGTCAGTCGTCCATTGTCAAAGCCGAAGAGGTGGAAGAGGCTCGTCGATATTTGGAACATGCTTCTCGAGAACCACAGAATCGCATCGACATATTAGAAGCCATTCCGCGACCTTCACAACCATCGTTTGCACCATTAGCGACCCTCTCAGCCCTTCTCGAGACTATTCCGGGCCCATGGCCAGTACTTCATCTTCAGCGGACACATAATGAGCTCTGGAAGCTTCTCCCCGAAGATGCAAAGGCCGGACATGCGTCGCCGGATGGACAGAAGTTGATTGACCACGTCTTGGGACAATGCAAGTCGTCCTATTCATCACTCCTCGACCTTTACCACCCTTCATCTAGAACATCTGCAATCATCGATCCGGAAAGCAGCCGGTCAGCGAGCCATGACGAGCTCGCCAGAACTATCAGCAACTTCACACTTCCAATCTCGTCTAGCTCCGACCGTTCGAAGCCTGTCGTAGCCATATCCCTTCCTAACGGTCCTTTACTTGCCATGACGGTGCTGGCCACCGCCACATACTACACAGCAGCACCTGTAGCACACGGGAGTGGCGTCGGTGCTGAGCAATTCAAAGCAGATGTCCTGCAGTCGAAGAGTGATGCGGTAATTGCGTCTGCAGCCGATGTTCAGAGGCTTGGTCTCCGAGAATCCTGGCTCGAAGAAGCTGGCATCACGGTACTCCTTGTCGATCTCACAAGCGACATGAGGCTTTCAGTTACAGATCTTGACGAACGGCCGGTGAATAAGTCAAACGACATCGTTCGTCGAAACACAGCCGACGATACTGGCATCATGCTGTTCACAAGCGGAACAAGTGGCACCAGGAAGCTTGTTCCTCTAAGCATTCATTCCATGGTTTGTGGTGTTGCAATGGTGGAGAAGTCCTGGGGCCTGGAGCCATCTATGCGGTGTCTCAACCAAATGCCGCTGAATCATGTGGGAGGCCTCATCCGCAACCTGTTTGCTCCGGTGTTCTCTGGAGGCTCAGTGATCTGCTGCAGCGCTTTTGATGCAAACCTGTTTTGGGATTGTGTCGAAGACTTTGCTCCAACTTGGTATTATGCCTCGCCAAGTATGCACCAAGTCATTCTTGAAGCAGGATCAGATCGACCCGAGAGTGTTGAAAAGAGCCGGATTCAACTCATTTGCAACGCAGCAGGCGGCCTCCTGCCCAGCCTGGCCTTGAAACTCCGTGACACATTCTCAACTCAGACGATCCAATGTACAGTACTCCCTAGCTACGGCATGACGGAATGTATGCCTATTTCGACTCCGCCTTTGGACTACAAGCTTGACAAGACTGGAACTTCGGGAATCAGCGTTGGACCAGAAATCTGCATTCTCAACGGCCGCGATGAGCGAGAGAGGACAGGAGAAGTCGGCCGCATTTGCGTTCGCGGAGCTCCTGTCTTCGACGGCTATCTGAAGGCAGATAACGTCATTGACAAGTCCTGCTTCAATGCGCATGGATGGTTTGATACAGGCGATATGGGCTACCTCGATGACGAAGGATTCTTGTACATCACAGGCCGCTCGAAAGAGGTCATCAACCGCGGTGGTGAACTTATCAGCCCCTTCGAGGTGGAAGAAGCAATCATTGCTGCTGCCAACAAGCCCGGCTCTCCAATCTATGGTCGAGTGAGCAAAGCCCTCGCATTTTCCGTTACTCACAATGTCCTGCAAGAAGTTGTCGGACTTGCTGTCGCAACGCCTGATGGAGCTCCTCGTCCGTGCCTTCGTACCATTCAGGAAGCCGTCAAATCGGAGCTGAGCCAAGTGAAGCTGCCTGTCGCTGTTGTCTACATGCAAGGTGGAGTCCCAACAAACAATAACAAGGTCCTTCGTATCAAGCTCGCCGATCGTCTGAGGCTTCCAGAAGTCTCTGATAGCACACCTACTGCCGAACGACATTTCGAAGCAGCATGTCCACCACCGAACACAGCTCTCAGCGTTCCAATTGGCAGCAAGCCTCTTGTCGTCTCTCATGAGACCTTGCAGTCTGCGTGCGAGACTGTGGTCCCACGGGCTTTCGACTTCTGGATCAAGGATTCCTACTTCTACCCAGAACTCGTGCTTGCTCCAAAGAGTGGTAAGGAGACTGGTGTGATCAACAAGCAGTCCCTTCTGGAGGATATAGCTGGGCGTGTTCATGGCTACAATATCCCGGTCAAGATCCATCAGCTTGAAGAACCATTCGTTCGCGATGATTTTGGAGACATCGATGTGGATGTCGTGAACGCAACGATTACCAAGCCGAAACCCTCTGTTAAAATTGCAGCGCCAGTAGAGGGCTCCGAGACTACAGAAGCGACGATCAGCCGTGTATTTGCTCGGGTTCTCTCACTTCCAGTGGAAGAAGTCAACTCGTCCTCTGACTTTTTTGAACTTGGTGGCGATTCCATGGGCGCCGGTCGGCTACTCAATGCCCTTCGGAAAGAGTATCCGGTCCGACTACCGATCAGTGTACTCTTCACGAATCCAAAGGTCCACCAGCTGGCTCAAGTCATCGAGGAGAAGCTACCAAATACTTCTCCAGAGAGCAAAACCGGTAACGCCGAGCCCGCTCTCCCACCTCTACTGCCTGGCTTGGAGAAGACCTGCAGCTCCTCCAATCCAGCTCTCCTGCTTCTACAACTCGTCCCAATTGTCCTCATGTACCCAATGAGACGAGCGTTGACATGGACAGTGTTCATCTACATGCTTCGGGATACTCAGGACTGGCCCACAAACGAAACCGTGCCTGGTCGCCTCTTCGACCTTGTCATCTCCATCAGCGTCGGTGGAATCGTCACTCGGATCATTAGTCCTTGTCTTGCTATCATCTTCAAGTGGCTGGTCGTGGGCCGCTACAAGCAAGGCTTGTACCCAATGTGGGGATCCTATCACACGAGGTGGTGGATAGTGCAGAAAGCAACAGCCACGTGTGGCATGGGTGTTTTCGCTCTCTTCAACGGCTCCCGAGTGCTGTATCATAGGCTTTTGGGCGCCAAGATTGGACGGAATGTCACCATTCAAAAGGGAGTCACGATTGGAGAGTGGGATCTGCTGACGATCGAAGACAACGTTGTCCTCGAACGCAGCATTGTCCGGCCTTTTGCCGCGGAACGCAACACTACGATGTATCTCGGACGCATCCACATTGGCGCAAATGCTTCAGTTGGCCTTGCCTCTGTAGTCGCGGCCGGCACTACGGTCCCTGCAAACGCCTGTATAGGACCAAACTCCTCGAGCTGGGAGACCGATGGCGTTGACGAGGCCAACCGAGATCTCGCGTCAAACAAGATCCCGCCTGCTCACTGGGCTCTCGAATATCTGGTCGGCCTCCCTCTTGCCTTCATGGTCAAGTTCGTCGGCGCGGTGCCCTGGTTGGCCTCTCTCACCGCACTCGTCATGCACGAGCCAAGCGTTGCTCCAGACATGTTCCGACAAGTCATCATCTGGTTTGCATCTCCCGGACGTGTGTCGTTCCACTATCTTGCCCTGGCTGCCAACGTCGCTCTCGGACCGTTCTTCTTCTTCTTCGCCTTCCTCGTGATCAAGAAGCTTTTCGACTGCACTGGGGGCAAGATTCAGCCTGGGCGCGCCGACAACCGCAGCCAATGGACCAAGTTCAGAATGCAGTGGATGAGGACCGTCATGCCTGCTCCGCAATTCCACAAGCTCACCGAGCTCTTCGGCACTCACTATGATAGTACCTCGGTCTTTGCCAGAGCACTTGGCTCAAGAGTTGGCAAGCGTGTCTATTGGCCAGGAACTGGGCCTTCGATCCAGGACTTCGATCTTCTCGAGATTGGCGATGATGTTGTCTTCGGCTCGCGCTCTCATCTCGTCACATCTGACGGCACAGGCAGCGACTACGTCCGCATCAAATCTGGAGCGATGATTGCTGATCGCGTTGTCCTTCTTCCTGGAGTCGAGGTTGGCGACCATACCGTAATGGGCAGTGGTGCTCTGACCAAGCGCAACAATCGATATGCCGACGGTACAACCTGGGTTGGAGCCAAGAACGGCGAGGCGGTCTGCCTTTCTGTCGACTCGCCCTCCCAATCGCCAGATTCGCTGCAACTCCATGAGAAATCTTCCCGACTTGCCAACATGGCCTCGCTCAATTCCACAAGCACCACACTTGCCAAGGGCTTTGATTCCGAGAGCTCTAGCCTGAGCGGCATCGAAAAGGTCAACAGCAAAGAGGACTGGCGATCAGACTATGGTTACATTGACAAGGTAAAAACTTCGAGTTCCCGCACCGTCGATCGTGAGAGTACCGGTTCGACACAAGGCGAAGATGGCGAATCTTCTCCTTTCGGACGTGCCTTCTACCAGGGCAAAGCGAACTATCGCGTATGGAGCCAATTCGAGATCTTCACCTATTCCACAATCATCGCTGTGGCCAATGGCGTGTTCTGGAATATCGGATCCGTCTCTGCTGTTCAGATCGTGGCGTACCTCTTCAAGCACCACAACATAGTTGTGAGAGTCTTCTTGGCACACAATGTGTGGTGGCGACCGATTGCAGTCTACACCCTCTTCCTGACGCTTATCGTCGGCATCATGGCATTGCAGAGCATTGCAGTCATAGCATTCATCATCGCCGCCAAGTGGATCCTCATGGGTCGTCGACAGCCTGGCAATTATGATTGGGACAAGTAAGTCTAAGGCGTCCACTCACTTGTGTCACGCCTCGTAGGATCATTGCTAACCGGATGAATAGATCTCCCTACTGCCAACGCTGGCAACTATTCCTGAAGCTCGAGACTTTCCGACGCCACTGCTATGGCGGCCATGGCATCCTCGGCCTCCTCACCGGCACCAAATGGATTTCGCTTTACTTCACAGCCCTCGGCGCCAAGATCGGCAAAGACTGTGCCCTTTTCGCCGGTGGCCTGCCGTCACTCATGTTCACGGAACCCGATCTTCTCACTCTTGGCGATAGAGTCTGCGTCGACGATGCCTCTCTCGTAGGCCATATCAACACTCGCGGAAAATTCGACCTCAACCCCCTCTCTGTGGGCTCACGGTCAGTCCTACGGAGTGGCTCCCGACTACTCTCCGGCGCCAAGATGGAAGAAGACACTTGCCTCCTCGAACACACTCTCGTCATGGCCGGCGATGTCGTTGATGCTGGTAGCACTAGCCAAGGCTGGCCGGCGGAGGACTTCACTGCCAACCGCATTCCAACCATGGAGCAAGCTCAGTACTGGAAAGTCAAGGCTTGAAGTTTTTTTTTTTCGTTCTTTGCTGAGCGTTCAATGATGATTTCTTTTTTTCGATTCTGGGTATTTGGCATGGCGTTCGGACTTTGGCATTTGGCGTTGCTATTTGAGATACCCAGAATCTAGGGGCGTGATAGATAGAGACACCCACACCCTTACTGTCCTTATGGAAGCATTTACTATAATATATAATTAGCACAGATTTTTCATTGTGCGTGGATGAGATTTGAATAGAGATAGAGAGGTCTAGTACCCAGCCAAGCGAAGCTCGTTTAGCTCATGTAGAGTTCTGTATATGAGGATAGTCTTAAGTTTAATCGGGCAGATTGTTATCAACTTGAATCGTTGGCTCATATCTATTCTTCTATAACTTCTATACCGGCGACGGGAATTCTAGTGTCTCAAACATAACCTTATCACCTCTGGGGCTTGAGCCCATCTCGAAGTAAAGCGACAAGCTCATCAAGTCTGCTAATCGCCTGGAGGAGAGGTCAGTAACACAGTACCCCTCGAGCAATCTCGCACGCTTACCACATCAGTGCGAGAATCAGTCTCGAGCTCCTCCTTGCCCTCGCTGCGCAATAACACAGTCAATGCACCAGCATCACGTCCCGCAGCCATATCATCGACAGAATCGCCGACCATAACCAAAGGGAGCAGTCTCTCCTCTGGTGGTGTTTCCGGCACCTTCGAATTGTCCACCAAGCCCCAGGCATGAGCGATATGCAGTATTCCAGCAGGCGAAGGCTTCGGAGGCCTGAAATCTCTCGTCACAACCGGAGAAAAAGGCTTCAAATGACTCGGGATATGATTCTTTAGAAGATGATCGACCGGCGTGCTAGCAAATCTGTCAGCAAAAGACACCATCCAGCATGATCCAAGCAAGAACACACTCGAAATTCCTCGTACAAATCCCTTTCTTCACCAAAAGAAAGAAAAAAGAAATTCAGCAAAAGCCTCCAAATCCACTCTTCCACACAACAACTCACAAGGATCCCAAACCGATCCAACTCCTCCATCAAAACCACAAGTCCCGCCTGAGGAACCTGCTTCTCCATCGCTCTAGACTCCTAAAACCCATCAGCAAAAAGTGCCATCCACTCCCTAACTCTCACATCTCAACCTCACTCACAATCTCCCGCACCCTCCCAAAAGCCTCCCTCTGCTCCCTCTCCGGCAAAGAATGAATGTGATCCAAAATATCGATTTCCGTGTCGATTCGCAGTGCTTCTCGCATTTCTCCAAACATGTGGTTCTGTGGTTCGCCTTTTTCCCGAAGGGAATTAGATTCGATTCATGTGCGTGGTGGTATGAAGTTTGGGGGAGAGACTTGCATAATGTGCCGTCCATGTCGAAGACTATGCCTTTGAGATGGAGGAGCGAGGGAGATGGGGAGGGAGACCCGAGTGGGGCGAAGTGGTGGCGTTTGGAAGGCATTTTGAGGGGACTATTCTAGCTTGCAAAAGGGCCCGGACTGATTTTAGCTGGGTTCAGCCTAACCTACCTCTACCTCCCACCCACCACCCAACGCGACTATTATATGTTTATGTACGCGTTTTTTGCATAGAATGCAGCATAATACTATCCCTAAGACTCAGTCTAATAGTAGAGACAGTATTACTATAGAAACTAGTAATTTTCTAAGCAGTCTACCTATATTGTCTTCTTAGCTACCTAAACCGCCCCTATTTACGCAACTACGCGATTTTCGGGCCTAATCCCTATAGTAACAACAAGATACACAGTATCTACCTAGTACTCTTCCGTTTAATAAGCAGGTATACTAGCAAGAGCTATATAGTCTACGAGCTACTAAGGCATTTAATAACCTAGAAATATAAGACAACGGAGTGCGATTTAGTTAGTAGCTTAGGTCTTTATACAATACTAACACTAATAACGACGACAACGAGGACAACGACAAGGAGAATAGACTACTAGGTAAAGAGTCTAGTAAAGAAGATATAACGATATATATACGCTCGAAAGGAGCGGCGGAAACAGTACCTACTAATCTAGAGAAGACTTCTTAGATACCTCCTCCTCCTACTATCGAGAAGCAACCTATTCGTAGGGCTATAGTTCCGCCGAGACCGTTAGATATACTAAAGTCTACACTAAAAGCCGTGCTTCGTAGAACTAGTATACCCGTTAAGAGGGGTTAGCGCAGTATGCGACAGAGTATTAAGAAAGAGCTAGTTTCGGGGGTGTTAGCTGCGGGCGCGAAGCTAGCTTCTACGCGTAAGCGCAAAGCGATAGAGGGCAAAACACTACGAAACAAGGCATATAGAACATTATCTAAACAGCAGAATAATAGCGCCGACCTATCTAATTGTTAGGGCCAAAGAGGCTACACGTGATTAGCATGTGACTAGGCCGAGTAAAGCTAGGGTCTTAATACCTCAGGTAGAGCTTGGCGCTTAGCGTTAGGCTAACTCTCCTACCTTCCTCCCTCTCCTCCTAGATCCTTATCGAATACTATACTAATTCACCACCACCCTATCTACCTGCTAACATAACCCTTCTTATATAGTATTCGATCTACCCTTTAAGGGCAGCAGCTAGATAGTCCTTATTTCAAGCTTTTAGCGGTATAGCTACGAACAAGACTAATCTAACTATATTACGCCCGAAAAACGGGACCTATACGTACTATTCTATCGAAACAACCGTACTAATCATTAAGCAAGGCCTTCTATACGGCCCATTACACTGAGTCAAGTATACTAAGCCGATATCTACTAACTCCGCTATATCCGCATCTTAGGGGCCTATAATACATTATTAGTGTTACCCCTTACAATAGCCGGCTTATTACGAAGCAACAACAACCGTACTACCGCTAGCAGCGCTAGCAATAACAACGCTAGTAGCACAGTTCCCGCTAAAGTGCCTACTAAAGTGCCTCCTACTAAAGAGCCTGCCGGAGAGCCTATTAAAGAAGAACCTATAATTCTAGGTAACGACCTAGAATTGCCTATCGACGACATTCTTAACAATATTATTAACCGTCGATATAGCTAACTAGCCTTTAGCCCCTAGCTAGTAGCGAGACTTCAAGAAGCTACCTAAAACAGGCTTACTGCCTTGCGTTAAGAACAATAGCTAAAGGATAATCTCCTCGAGATTCGCCGCCTATAGGAAGCCCTAACAACTACTGCTAGACTAGAACCAACAGTAGGACCTTCCTCGCTACCTGTCTAGAAGAAGGATACCAAACTTAAGGACTATACCGTGTTTAATAGCTCCAGCCGCAAGCAGTACAATAATCACATACGTAATTGTAAGTTAAACTAGCGCAATGCACTAAGAGCGCTACTAGACGACTATTCCTTAGTCGTACACGCTATGCAGTACATTAATGGCGACCTAAAACGTATATAGGATAACCATTTTGATTCCCTTTACGACTAGACCGCTATTCAATGGCAGGATTACAAGACTATTATACTAAACACCCTTAGCAACCCTATATTGCGCTAGCAGTACGCCTAAGACTAATACCTACGTGCTAAGCAAAAGGCCGACTAAACCTCTCGATCCTTCGAGGCCTATCTAAAGACCCTTAAGGACGATTTGCTACCTAAGACCGACTCTATCTAGATATCTAAGATACGACCTAAACTAAGATAGGAACTAGTCCTTAAATTGGACCGCCGCCGTATATTCGAATAGGCCAATCTTACACGTATTCAATTTATAGTTAAAGTAGAGACTGCAGAGCGTATAGTATAGCTATAGCAACGGTTAGAATCTAAGATACGACTATCTACTAACCGTAGCCGCGGTGGAAACCAAGGAGGTACTCCCTAAACTAACACTGCTAACAATGGAAACAGTAACGACTAACGTAGAAGAGGCAGGGGCCGATACCGCGGTAGAAACCCCTAGCGAGGAAGAGGACAAGGAAGGGGCTTATTTCTATATACCCCTAATCGTTTATCCAATTCTAGCACCAATTCGAGCGGACCTAGCGGTGCCCTAACTAGATATAAGTGCTTTAATTGTAATAGCACCACTCATTTACTAGGCCAATATAATAGGCCCCGAGACTAGGCCCGAGTCGACCGTACTGCCGCTAAACACCGAAAGCACCTTTTAGTAGCTAACGCTACCCCTATAGGCCAACCTTCGAAAAAAGAGTAAGCGCCGTACTAACTGTTAGCCTTATGCGGCATAAGACTATCGACATTGTACTAGCTATTATACGTACCTGTCTTATATCTAGGCCCGATACTAACTATAAGGCAAAGGTCATACTAGACCCCGGGAATTCAGTTAGCGCCCTTATTAGCTATCGCCTAGCTAAGCAATTAGACCTTCGACAACTGCCGAGGACTAACCTACTAACCCTTGCTTAGTTTAATAACGCTCGGCACTTGACCTATAGAGCCTATTATGTTCCTATAGTTCTAAGAGACGACCTCGGCAATAAGCGCCTACTAAACTTTACTGCTTACGTAGTAGATATAGACAGCCTCCTATCTAAGATTGTTATTAGCAACCCTGTTCTTAAGTACTATACTATAGTTATAGACTTAGGCAGTTAACAATAGCGATTTAGAATCGCTAGGAAAGAGGATATTAAACATATCGACATTAGCGAGTGTCCTAATAATATTAGGGTCCTATTTATTAGCAACCTAACTCCCGCCTCCGCTAATCTAACTACCGACCTACTCGGTAGTAATAACGATGAACTAGTGCCCCCTAATAGCATAGATCCTGAACAGCTTAAGCGTATACTAGAACCTATTCGAGAGACCTATATTAATGTATTTAAACACTACCTAGCATCGACGTTGCCTATATTTAAGGAGACGGATTATAAGATTAACATTATAGAGGGCAAGGAGGTCCCTTTTAGCCCCCTCTACAACCTTAGTGAACAGGAGCTTGCTATGCTACGTAAGTACCTAGAGGAAAACCTAGCTAATAGTCGAATTCGATATAGCAACAGCCCTGCTAGTACACCTATCCTATTCGTGCTAAAGAAGGATAGCGGCCTGCGTTTATGTGTTAATTACAGAGGGCTCAACGCTGTTACTATTAAAGACCGCTATCTACTCCCGCTTATTAATAAGACCCTCGACCGCCTTTCTAGTACCTACTACTATACTATATTAGACATTAAGGATGCGTACTACCGTATCCGCATCCGTAAGGGTGATAAATAGAAAACAGCCTTCCGCACCCGCTATAGCTATTTCGAGTACTTAGTTATACTATTCGGCTTAGCTAATGCCCCTGCTATATTCTAGTCCTATATTAATCGGGCCCTATTAGGCCTATTAGATTACCTCTGTATGGTTTACCTAGATAACATCCTAGTTTATACACACTCTCCTAACATTGCGGAACACTAGGCTACAGTACGCAAGGTCCTCGACCGCCTACGAGCCTATAGCTTATATTACAAGCCTTCTAAATGCACCTTTACTACTAAGGAGGTATTATTCCTCGGCTTCCTCGTATTAACTAAGGGTGTTAAGGCTAATCCTAATCGGATCAAAACTATTACTAAATAGCCTGTTCCTACGTTAATTAAGGAGCTGTAGTCGTTCCTCGGTTTTACTAACTTCTACCGCCGATTTATTAAGGGCTATTTACGGTATATAATGCCCCTAACTAAGCTTACTAAAACCAAGGCTAACCCTACTAGAGAGTTCAAATGGACTAACAGAGCACAAGCCGCTTTTAACGGTTTAAAGAAGCGCTTCACTAAAGTCCCTTTATTATACTATTTTGTACCAAACAAGCAGATCCGAATTGAGACTAACGCTTTACAGTTCGCTATATTAGCTATAATGTCTTAGCAGTTAGACAGTAACTACTACTAGCACCCGATTGCCTTCTTCTCGAGAAAGATAATTAATGCTAAGCGTCGCTACGAGACCTACGAGTAAGAGCTCTTAGCTATTGTCGAGGCCTTTAAGCATTAGAGGCATTACCTCGATAGGGCCTAATATACGATATAGGTCTATATAGACTATAACAACCTCCGTAGCATTACTAAGGTTACTAGGGTTATAGGTCGATAGGCTAGATAGGCCGTCTACCTCGCTAGGTTTGATTTTAATGTATTACATCGGCTAGGCGTAAGCAACCCTACTAATAGCCTATCGAGGCGACCTAATTACGACGGCGAAACCTAACATATCAATTCTTTGTTTCTAACCCTATAGCATAAGATTGCTATAGCCCGTATTGTTAATAAGCAAGCGCAGGATAAGCGGCTTACCGGACTCCGCGACGGCTTGAAGTATGTTAATGCTCTTACTATATTAATAGTACGTATTAAGGCAAGAGCTAAGGACATAGATAGGAGAAGTTATAATAACTCCCTAGTCGATATCGCTATATAC